AAATCTTGGAAAAAAAAATACTTTGAGACTTAAAGTCTGTCTGGGTTTGGAGTGCCTGCATGACAAAAGCAAATGTAAACGTGAGTAACCCATGCGCAGTAATGAGCAGGTTCTCTCAGCTCTGCTGGAGTGGGAAAGCCCTGACATTATCACTATAGCGGAGAAATGACTTCACCTTCTGAATACTGTGTTATAGTAAATTAACACCTGATCTAGAAAACGAAAACTGCACAAGTAATCAGTCAGTAAACAACTCTTTCTTAAGTCTTAAGTTTCCTTCTATGATGTAACGTTCCCCAGGTTGGGAAACAAAAGCAACTGCTCTCTTCTGAAGAGCAACTGATTGCCTCAATCTACAGGAGGGATACACTGATTTTATTTTCAAGTTTGAAATAAGTAATGCGTTCAAAACAAAATGGGTAAATTAAGATCCTAGAGTATGTAATTATTATTTGCATCAGGTATACTCACTGTGAGAAAATCACTGAGTTTTCAGATCTGTCTTACCTTCATTTTGAAAACATCTAGAAGTGCTAACAGATACAACCTCGCCAAGGCTACTGAGGGCCCTCACTTTAACTGGCAGCCATTCTCCCTTACAGATAAGCAGAGCGACTAGGTGCTGGCTCTGTGCTTCCCTCTACACTCAAATTTTAAAACAATTCTTATTTTGACTTGTTAAATGCATATATTCATCACATTGCTCTATTCTTGCTTAGTTTAGGCATCTGTTTCACAATAGTTTAATTCACTCCAACTTCTAGCTATCATCTACTCTACAGCTACGAAACAAAGGGCTTCTATCGATTTTACTGTTTTCCATTTGCTCAAGTTAACATACCTAATTACAGATTAAATATGTACCCGCTGCTATTTTCTAGTACTAAAACTAGTTAAATAGTGAAGATGTTATTTGAGCTTAATTACATAAGCAGCCATTATCAACCCAAGATATATTATGCATTTCTTGCCTTTTACTTTCACTTATCTATATTTACTCTGATAAAGTGCTTCAAGTTTCTGTAAGACTTTTTCCCTGAAGTGCTGCACATGTCAACCTCATGAGGCAGATGCTCTAACAGCCAGGGCTGATATCACCAGGAGCATCCGAACTACCCTACTCTCACTGTTCAAGAAGTCATCTCATGTCCCATGATAAGACAACAAAAACAAGAAGCTTCCTACTGATAGACTATGATGATGAGCTTACCCATTTAGATGCAAAATCCAAATTAAAACAAAAGCCAAACCACAGCAGCACAAGGCAGGTTCAGCACCTTTAAGGCCACAGAGTGCAAAGTCACTGTCAGGAGAGAAGCCAGATTTCCTTCAAGCTCTATCAAGAAGCCAGATGAAGCTTCCATTAGACTCTTTCTCACCCAGCTTCCCAGTCTGAAGCACAGGACAGTCAGCACACTTCAAAGAAACAACAGGCTTTATGTAAATGTCACTCACCCAGGCCACTTTACAGGCTACCACTTAAAAAGAGCTTTCATCTTCACAACTGATTTGACCTCCACAAACTCCCCAAGAAGGAAAGCAACTGGCTATTACAGACAAAAGGAAACAAATGGAGACTCAGAGTAAAACTCCCTGCTCAGCACCATCACACATCTAATTCCAAACCCAAAATTCACTTCACATTTCATCATGTCAGCCAATATAAATCAGAAGTAACATTACAGAAGGAAAATGAATGGACAAAGACTAAAGAAAAACTTTATTTGGGGTTTCACATGACACAGAGAAAAATCTTTAACTCACTTTAACCTAGTTTCTCATTCCTCCTAAGAAAACCAGATTCAACAAGTTTTACACTTAAGTTTGCTTTTAAAAAAAGAATTGATAAACCTATCCAACTACAATCCTTCCCATATTTTAGGGCTAAATTTCATCTGAGAATTCACACGGAGATGATTTTAAAGTTTAGCCAGGTGCAATACATTACAGAAGATCTTGGAAATAAAACTATTTTTTAACTGTTTTAAGTCAGACCTGCAGAGCAGTCAGGAAGGAAATTCTTACAACTTCCTCACCTTAACCACACAAGCTCAGAAACAACTTAGGCCTTGGTAGTTCTGCAGTTCCATGAGTCGGCATTTTCTGTTTTAAAGGACCCCAAGGTTAACAGGCCTCATGGCTATGTCCCTATTTTTTTTTTTAATGTCCCTACTTTCAGAATTTCACATTAGCGAGTCACACCTAATTTTTCCAAACTGTTTAAAAACTGGATTGGAATACAACTAATACAACCTAGACAATATTGTTGATCAAGTTAATAGACATATTAGCTGATCACAGAGTTTCTTTTGATCCATAAAAGAATAACACAAAACATACAATAGCAATGGATGCACTTGGTGCACAGAGCAGAGAACACAGGCGGACTACTGACTGATGGTCAATAGCCACGTTTGTAACAGCATCAGACTTTTTAAAGACAGGTGGTCAGTTAGGCATCTGGGAGGGGGTTTTGAGGAATTTACATTTCAGCAGCAAGAGGGAGTCTCCTAATACACAATTTGTTCCCCTAGCAGGTTCCTTTCCTCAGTCTGCTCACTCCAGTTTCCCTGCCTGGGGGAGGAAGCACCACTCTTTGATCTATTATCTAAGCCTGAGGACTAAGGAGTTTCTTGCCTGTTCATTTCCATATTAACTGCTCCCTGGGCCTCCCTCAGGCCTTCTCAGCAGGTCTTCTCAGCCTAGCTGCAACTAGCTCTGGCTCCACTCTGGTAAAGATTCCCAATGTCCTCTCTTTAATCAACTGTTTTCTTAATAATTCTCCAAATCACTTAATGTCATACATGCTCCTGTCCTGTAACATATTTATTTCTGCTGACACATACACAGGAAATGTTGTAAATACCCAGACTTTCTGGGTAGGTTCACACTCCAAATCTGTAGCTGGCCAACTCTCTGCCTGCAAGCACCAGGGTCCCATATGGGTGCCACTTGAATTCCTGGCTACTCCACTTCCCACCCAGCTCCCTGCCGGGAAGGCAGTCCTCGGGGCTCTGAACCCACGTGGGAGAACCAGAAGCAGCTCCTCACTTCAGCCTTGCCTAGTCCTAACCACTGAGGCCACTGGAGAAGTGAACCAATGGATGAACACTCTGTCCTCTCGGAAAATCTGCCTTTCAAATGAAAATTAAATAAATCTAAACAAACAAAACAAAAAACTGCTAACCCATTTTTCAGAAAGACCAAGCCTTAAACTGAAAACAAAACAAAACAAAACCCTAAACGGTTGTGTCTTCTAATGTCCCAAGCAGAAAACATGAACGGCAGGAATTACTGCTGTGTTCTTTTCTTCCCAATCCAACCAATTCACTTCTTGCCGTTTCTCTGCAAAGTAACTTTAAACTTGTATTATCTGTGGATGCAGCAACCAGGTTTCTGCTTTTTTGCTATTGTGGCTTGCTTTGTAAAGTAATGCTCATTTGCTTTTAAAAGTAATGCTTAAAGAGCCCAAATGTGAATGTGGCATTAAAAAAAAAAAAAGACTTTCTATGGAGCAAGGAGAAAACAGAGAAAATTAAAGGAAAACTGTATTTGTACATTCGTCACAGAGAGAATCCCTTCATAACCGAATGTTCCTTATGTTTTAAGTAACAGAAATGCAATCACTGTACTTAGGTTTAACTCACAAAACCAGGATTACACTACTTTGTAAGCTATCTTCACTGCTCTGACACAACACTGGCCCTGAGCAATTTCCTTTTTAAAACGAATATTTACCATACTTCAAAACACTGTTTGGGAACAAGTTTTATAATAAGCTTGCCTGCAATCCCATTGTTACTACAAGAGGGATCAAAATTATGCTGTAAAACACTCTCTCCATCCCTTCCATCTAAGACAATAAACTCAGGAAAAAAGACGACTCACACTTTGTGTGTAAAAACATCCCCGAGAGATGTGGGGCTCGGTAAGATGCGAACCTTGAGCCCACCACAAGCTTTACTACTCGGTGCACGCGAACTAAAGGCAAGCTATCCTAAAATCGCAGCACCAAGCAGTTACCCACATTATTTACAAGACAGCCTTTCAATTCCGTTTTTCATCAAGTCTAAAACGGAACAGTCCAATTTCCCCCACTCCACAAAACGTCTTAACTGCCTCGTTTTGTTCAAACTGGCGGTCCCGCCGCAAGGTGGACAGTGCGAGGAAAAAAACAAGAGGACAGAGAGAGGGGAACGTGTAGAGACAGGGATTTCATCGTCCGGCTGGCGCAACAAAACAGAGATTGCAGCTGCATTATTTCACATTTAATCTTTCTATTCCTGGCATCACGAGGTGTGAACGTCACCAAAAAGATGGGTCGGCAGAAAACTCGGCAGGGTGACGCGCATGAACATCTTACCATATGGACTCTCAACAGTCCAGACCAAAAAGCGCCCCCAAACCCGCCCAGGTTGGAGAAGGGTCCCCGGGGCCGTCGACTCCCCCACCGCCGGCGCACGGTGCCGCACTGCACCCGCGGGTGTTGCTGGAGCCGCCCCCAAGGGAAAGGCTCCGACCGCGGGGGAGGTGGCCTCGGGGCCCGCAGGAGGTCGCCCGAGCCCGGCGCCCGCCCGCCCGCGAAGCCCCTTGCCCAGCCGGAGGCTCTCACCCCTTCCCACCCAAGGAGGCTGCAGTGTCCGGGGCGCAGTCCCAAGCACCCCGACGCTCGGGCCCAAACTCCGTCCCAGGTTCCAAACTCGCCCAAAGTCATACCAGAAGGGGCAGCGCCACCTCCGCCGGACTGCGCTGGTTGTCACGGTGGCGGCAGTCACGGCTCCAGGCGCCAGTGACGCCTCTCATAAAAACAACAACCTGCTCGCAAGCGTCCGCAGCCGGGAGGCGGCGGCCGGCAGCGAGCCGCAGCGCATGCCGGGACTAGTAGTCCTACCTGCGCCCCCCACGCAAAGCAGCGGCGGAGCGCAGAACTACAATCCCGGAAAGGAGTGCGGCCCACCACGGGACGGCCACAGGAAGCTGGGGCGGGCGACCGCGAATCCTCACAACATCCGGGCCCCCGGGGCCCGCGGCCGGTTGCTATGGAGACAAGTCGCCACCACTGAAAGGACTAGCAAAGCTGCTTGAATCAGCCAACAGTTCCTCTCTGCTTCTTTAATTAGGTGCAGTTTAAAAGATCCTTCTCTGCGTTCGCCAGCCTTTTTGCCATCTACTGCAAGAGAAGATTGCATTTACCGGAAAATTTTACGGAGAGGACGACAATGACGGACTGCGACTGGGTGGGTCTGAGCAATGGAATTGTTTTTGTTATTGTCCTTTGGTATAATCTGAGGCTCCAGCTATACCCACCCGCCCCACCCTCAAAACCCCACCTTTCTAGGCCCCCCCAGAGCTGCTGCATTTATTACCAATGTAAATGCACGTTTTATTAAATCAAAATTGTAGGACAAGGGAGCTGCTAACGTCTGGTACTGTAAACTGGTGGTGATTTTGACCGAAGACAAAAATCCATCAAGTTTACATTTATTTACATGTGTCTTGGGCAAAAAAAAAAAAAAAAAAAAAGCATAGGGAAGAAGGGGAAGTCGGGAGATCAGGTGACCTTACAAAGTCACGGTTAAGGGAAGCCAAGACTGGGATCTGCCCCTCAGTTGTGGCAACATAAAGAAGCTGAGGGGATTCGTTAAACCTTTTTTCTTTTGTGTTAACTATGACTCCTGTTTAACATCAACTGTTGACATAACACCAAAAAAGAAAACAGATAGTTTACCTAAGTACAGTTTTTGTGATGTCTTGTTTTCATTTATATTTTTACATATAGAAATGTGTGTTTACACCACAGGACTTTGGGAAAGCCCAAGTCACATGGCTTTCTCTAAGAGAATTTTAGTAAAGAAAGCTTATTTGCAGGTAGAGGGGCGGTGCAATGGCTCCTTAGCTAATCCAACCCCCCCCCCGGAAGTGCCAGGGTCCCATATGGGAGCCGCTTCTGGTACTGGCTGCTCCACTTCCCATCCAGAGTAACCTGTCTCTAGCCTGGAAAAGCACTGGAGAATGGCTCACGTCCTTGGGGCCCTGCATCCGCTTGGTGGAACCAGAGGGGGCTCCTGGCTCCTGGCTTGGGATCTGCTCAGCTCCAGCTGTTGCAGCCATTTAGAGAGTGAACTAGCAGATGGAAGATCTTTCCATGTCTCCTTTCCAATAAAAAAAAATAAATCTTAAAAAAAAAGAGAGATCCTGTATCACCTATAGACAGATTTTTAGATTTCTCAAGGTAGTTTCATGGGCTAATTTTAAGACTTCTCTTTTCTTGGCAATTTTAATTAGGCTTCTTATCCTTAAATAAGTCACAGTTTGTAAACATGGTAGGTTAAATGGCAGAGAATTTAAAGTAAGCCTTTTCTATTCTTTGAATTTAGGTAGGTTACTGTGCTTTTTAATTGCAAATAGTTTCTACTCCTGAAGAATATCAGGTCTGGTGAAAATAAAGTAAGAAAGCCAACTTTAGGGTTTATAATGGAAAACAAAAGCAGTGAGAATTTTGTTTCTGCATCTATAAACACTGACACATTTTCCTGGAAGTCTAAAAGATTTAGGTTCTACTTCTACACATTTCATTACTAATTATTACAGCAAAGTTTATCCACTAATTTTTTTTTCTTTTTACTAAATTTGGGGTTTTTGTGTTACACTCTTAAAAAGTAACATTCTTAAATGTACATATTTGAGAGGCAGAGGAAGAGCTATCATTTCACTGGTTATAGAACAGCAAGGGGGCAGAAAACAAACTGCTTGAGTAAAACTCCCACTTTCAGGGCCTGCACTAGCAGGATGTTCCAGTCACTATCTAGAACTAGTCATCAAAACCACATATGCAGGGTTGGCACTGTGGCATGTTAAGTTAGGCTGTCACCTGCAGTGTCTGCAACTTAAATGGGCACAGGTTCAAATCCAGAATGCTCCACTTCCAATCCGGATGCCTAATAATACTCTTTGGAAAGCAACTGAAAGATGGCCTCTATACTTGTGTCCTGGTCCCACATGGAAGACAACTACAACATTCTTGGCTCCCAGCTTCCGCCAGTCCCAGGCCTGCCTACTGTAGCCATTTGGGGTGTGAGAGAGAAGATCCATCTCCCCCTCTTTGTGTAACCGCTTTTCAAAAAAAAAATAAACTTTTTTTTTTTAAGCCACATCCTCTGGTTAAGGATTTTAATACTACGCTGCCTTCTCCTGTATTACATTTTGAGTCAACTCTAATAAAATCTCAGACCCATCAACGGAGAGGGTGCTTTGATACAACAAGAATCTTCGGTAACTGAAGGAAACGAGTATTAACAAATCCAAGAGGAAAAGTATGCTTTCTCCTGAGCAAACTGCTTAGGTGCCAGAGATTTTCCATCTGCTGGGTCATTCCCCAAACAGCCACGATACCTGGCACTGGGCCTCCCCAGGGACTCCCTCATGGTTGTAGGGGCCCAGGGACTTGTGCTCTGTTTTGCTGCCTTCCCCAGCAGGGAGCTGGCACAGAAGCACAGCAGCCAGAACTCAATAGGTGACCTATGGAATGTGGTTTGGTAAGTGGAGGCTTAGCACTACACCATGGCACCAGCCCCCCATCTTGGGGGTGATGTTTCTAAACAGTAACCTTGCATCTTTGAGGCCTCCGCTGGACTGAAGAAACCTAGATATTTTGAGAACAGTGACAAAGTCACCTCCATTCCAGCCTTGTGCTGCTACTCCAAATACTCTGTTGGCAGTCATTCAACTCAGAACCAACAAAAGTAAAAAGTGGACTGAGCACTTCACACCTACAGATTTCAGTGCAAATGATCTAAAAACAACGTAGGTTCTGCAACGTTAGTTAAAATAGCCAAGGAATTTGCAATGAGCCAAATCTTACTAAAAGGAACCTAGCTAACCTGACCCAAACTTGAAACTCACAAAGGCTTTGTTCTAACCTTGGCTTGACATAATAACTCTGTAAACATGCTTATCTCCATTTTACAGTTGAAGAAACTGAGATTATATGCTGGCTAGACTTCTCAAGACCAGGATTTTTAACAGTTTCAGCTTCTTGAAACAAGAGTGTGACAGCTTTCATGGATTTACACAATCTTCTATTTAAATAAACCAGAAAAAGTCACACTAACACCCCTGCAACCACTATTAGGTTATTTCACCACATTGTTACCAGGGGTCATGTCTCTGCCCCCCAAAAAATTCAGAGGTCAGAGGATGGCAATTAGCATGCTAGCAAAGTTTAATGAAGAGAGCAATGAAGAAAATACACTTCATAGACTAGGCAGACTTCTAGGCAAGGAGCTGAGCGCCCAGTTTGCTTATGGATGTTGGGTGTGGGTTCTCTTTCTCCTTCCATCCCAGCCTTTCTGGAATGCTGCTGGGACAAGGGCTTTCTGGGTGCGGACCGTCTCTGAGGAACGGCAGTTGAGATTTCCCCCAGGACAGAGCTGAGACCACCCAGCCAGGTTAATGAAAGATAGCAAGTTTTTTGCTTTGTAAATATATTGACTGGTTACTGCAGCTCCTCTCTTATTCAGCTGCATTGAGGTTACCATTTTCTCTTTGGCTCCTGTCCACCTAGCCACCTTAACAATGTCTGTTACATGTTAACTAACTGCAGAGTTTGCTGAGTTTTTGCCTTTGTCATTAACATCCAAAATCATTTATGTGTCAAAGGTGCAGAACCTTCTTTTCTGCCAAGGGCCATTTGGAATATTTATATTTGTGGGCCATTCAAATTATCAACTTAAAAATTAGCCTGGGATCTATCGAATGTGGAATCCTGCTGTGGTGGCCTTGCCACAGCCAGAACAAATGATTTGTGGGCCTTATGCAGTGTGGGTCAGGTGCTCTCCACATATGGTTGTGGACACCATGCAGTGCAGTTATTCAGAGCCTTATATCACAACTAAATATACATTCTGCTTCATGCTTTCCTCAAATAAAATCACTTCATATCTTATTGCTCCACTTAGCCCTGGTAGCTGAGTCTGCAGATGCAAAAACAAAGCCATCTATCTAATCCATGTCCTTTTTTATACTTATACACAATTTTTAACCTTGTAAAATAATTTCATCAAGGTCAAACTCAAGCTATTAGTGCCAACAGAAGAATCCAGAACACTTAATTTGTGTTTTTTATAACTCTTAGCAGTAGGAGGTACACAACTTTTAAGTTTCCCAGTTAATTTGGTTGATATGCTTTTCCACAAAGCTGCCATTGTCATATGCCCCTATAACCTTCCATCTCTTCATATTCCTCTTACTCCTCAGCCAACCTGCCTCTTTCACTCCTAGCCATTGTCCACCCCATCTCTGGTACCAAGGGTGTAGGGTTTAGGCAATACAGCTGGGAGGAGGAGACCACAACAACATGGGAACAGGGCTGGGAATCTGAAATAGGACACAGCTCCAGGGAAGCCTGTCTTGTAACATTGTGTTCAGAAGCAGCCATACCACCACATTCCAGGAAACCTGCAAAACACAAAAAAATTAACTTGAGTACAAAACTTCTGAATCTACACTGTATGAAGACTTACGTAGTTTGACCAGGAAAAGACCCTTTTTCTGCTCCCCACTTCTTACATCCTCTATGAATATTACAAGCAGGAAGGACCTTCCCACTCCACCCCTCCCCCCCATCCAGGACACTCCCTAACGGTTGCAATAAAAACCCAGTCAAACTTGACCTCCCCTCCTCTGTCTCCCAAACTTGTCACAGGTGAATAAAACGTGACCTTGAGCAGCTCATGCATGAGGCTGGTTAGTGAGCAGCACCACAAGAGAACAGGTAGCTAGTGGCCACTTTCCTATCCAGTGTGTAGCATGGTACTCAAGAAGTAAGGGGCCAGCAGCATGCGTATCGGTGTTTTTCTTCTTTTTAAGATTTATTTTTTTAGGCAGACACAGATCTGATACCGTGGGTTCGATGTTTATGTTTACAGTATGTTTACAAGTGTCATTTGGTTTCATTTTCCACTCGTCCTCCTAACATTTCTACTGCAGTAGTAACAGGTGTACAGTGAACTGTGTATGCTCACTGTATATGTATACAACTAGGAAAACATCATAGCAATCAGAATAATGTTTCTATCTGCATAATTCATTGCCCTCTCCTTCCTTCCAAATACTGATCTGCTGTCACTGTACTTTCTAGAATTTTATGTAGATGGTCTTATATAGTATATACACTTTTATGTATGACAACTTTCGATTAGCAATTATTTTTTGATTCAAAATTTTTTTTTAATTTTTATTGAAAAGGCAGATTTACAAAAAGGAGACACAGAGACCTTCCATCACTGGTTCACTCCCCAAATGCCTGCAACAGCCAGAGCTTAGCTGAGCTGAGCCGAAGGTGGCAGCCAGGAGCTTCTTCCAAGTCTCCCATGTGGATGCACGGTTCCAAGGCTTTGGATTATCCTTCACAGCTTTCCCAGGCCATAAGCAGAGAGATGGATGGGAAGTGGAGTAGTCAGGGTGCTTGCAGGTGGAGGATTAGCCAGGCAGATGCGCCATTGCACTGACCCCAAGATTTATTCATTTGAAAAGCAGAATTACAGCAGGAGCCCTGCAGGAAGGTCCTGAGCCTTGATCTTGGCCATGACTGCACAGGCCCTCCCACTAGCACTGCTCAGAGGGAAAGATCTCTCAGCATGATTTAAGTATAGGCTATACTGTAATTAACCAGTTACCATGTTGTGCAGGTGTTCGGTATAATAAAACGTCAGCCCCAGAACCTTTCCCTGTTCCTCACTGTTTGCTAGCAGCCAACAATGGCAGGCAAACAGTATAAGCACTCAGTGCTCAAGAGGTGCTTGCTAAATCATTAATGAATGATAAGGCAGATCTGGAAAGGCACATCAGAATTACAGAGAGGGGAGACAGAGATATCTTCCATCAGCTAGTTCACTCCCCAAATGGCCACAAGAACTGGAGCTCAGCTGATCCAAAGCCAGGAGGTAGGATTTCTTCTGAGTCCCCCACACAGGTGTAGGGTCCCAAGAACTTGGGCCATCCTCTACTGGCTCTCCCAGGCACAAGCAGGGAGCTGGATGGGAAGTGGAACATCCAGGGCATGAACCAGTGCCCATATGAGATCCCAGTGCTTGCAAAGTGAGGATTTAGCCATTGAGCCATCATCACAAGGCCTACAAAGTCTGTCCCATTTAAAGGTTTTCATTTTCATTATTAAACATGATCCTTATAGACATTGCTAAAGACAAAGCATGTCATATATGTGCTAGTAAGCTATTTGCATTTTGCAGCCACTTATAGCTTGTTTTTTCACCGGTCAACAAAATTATGTACATTTCAAATATTTATTAAGTTTATGAACTATCATTTTATTTTTGTTTTTATTCAACATTTTTTCTTTTAACCTGAAAGAGATATCCTCCAATTTCTGCTTCACATTCCAAACAGCTGGCAAGGGCTGGGCCAAGGGGAAGCCAGGAGCCCGGCAATCCACTGGTCTCCCACATGGCTGGCTGGGTACCACTGTGTTCTAAGGCATGTTGACAGGTAGCTGGGTCAAAAGCCGAGCAGCCAACTCCAAGCAGCACTCTGCTACCTGAGCAGCACCTGTAACTTACTGTGTTGCATTGGTCTCTAGTTTGTTGTTGTTGTTTTGTCTGTCTGTATGTTAAATTGCAGTAAATAGTAAAATTCTCACCTTTTTTGGCCAGGAACCTGGGATTAATCCTAGACCTATCCCTTTTCTTCCATCTAATCAATCCCCAGATTATTTGAATTCCAATTCTAACATTTTTCAGATCTCTTTACCGACACCCGCTATGCCACCACCCCACTACAAAGCACCGTAGGTCACAGCCTGCTGCAGCCTCTCCACATCCACAGTGTCTAATGGCAGCCAAAGTCATTCTGCCAGGAACGATGTTACCTAACAGCACGCCTGACTCTGAGCCCCTTTGTAGCTTTCTATTGCTTTTGCAATAGTGATTCAAAGCCTCGGTGTTGTTAATGAAACCCTGAAAACCCTGGTCCTATCTATGTTCTCCTCTCACCCTAACTTGCCCTTTACTCCCACTTTGTCTTTTTTTTCCAAGTTTACCAATCTTAGGTACAGGGAAACGTCGCAGAAATGGCCTTTCCTACCCCTGACATTAGGTTAGAACCCTCTGTATATATTTACAGATATCTCATTTTTTTTTTCATTGGACTCATGGTGATTTCAGTCATTCAGTAAGTTACGTACTGATAAACTTAATGGTTGTCCTCTATTAAGCTAAAATCTCCAAATGTCTGTCTTCTCACTTTGAAATTGAGCTGTATTTAATCTTCAAACTATGATTTATCGCTGATTGCTCTATGACATATAATTTTTGATAAATTCTTACATTTCTAATACAGGATACTGAAACAGCTCTCCTACCTATACTGTGTGTGTGTGTGTGTTAAGCCAACTGTTCCAACTAGTTTTTATTCCTACTTGGTACAACCTACCTAAACTTTTAACTGGTTTGCTTTGTACAGGCTTCTGTCACTTAACAGGTAGGCTTCAGTGCCCTCAAGAGAAATGAGAATTCTGACAAGGGGGAATGATAGAGCTACATTTAATTCTAATTGTTTAAAGAAGCTGATTATTTAGAAAGTGACTTATGTGTTTATCTTTTAGGATAAGAGAAATACTTCAAATTCAGACACAGAAATGAAGCTTGACCAATCACCTCCTTGTGTGAACCCTGGCAATCCAGTGTTTTCATGCATGTTGGACCCAAAGACACTTCGTACGGCCACCTCACTATCAAAACCCCAGATGATTCTGTATAAAACTAATTCAAGTCACTATGGCGAATTTTTACCTATTCCGCAGTTTTTGCCCTGCAATTACACTCCAAAGGAACAAGTATTTTCAAGCCACATCAGAGCGACTGGATTTTATCAAAACAACAGTCTAAATATTGCACCTGACAGAACCAGAACTCTTGATTTTCCTAATTTTCAGCACACTCTGTGAAAATACATTCATTTTAAGAGAAAAATGCATTAAGGAAAAGTGAGTTTTAAATCCAAGACTAAGTGATTTAGAAAATAAAATTATTTGATTCGATTTAAAAATACCTTAAGAAATAAAGTATGCCAACTGATAGTTGAACGACAGCAACTTTTTAAATGAAAGTGCGTTTGAAATAGAATAGAGGTGAGTTAAAATGCTGTCTTCCACAGAAGAGACCCCCGCTGACTTCTGGGATGGGCATGCAGGGAATGAACTAGTGAATGGGAATTCTTTTTTTAAGAGTTATTTATTTTTACTGGAAAGCAGATTTATAGAGACAAGGAGAGAAAGAAACATCTTTCACCTGCTGGTTCACTCTCAAAGTGACCACAATGGCCAAACCTGAGCCAATCCAAAATTAGAAGCCAAGAGACTCTTCTTGTCTCCCACACGGGTATGGGGCCCAAGTCTGTCTGTCTGTCTACCAAAATTTTCCCAGGCCATAAGCAGGAAGCTGGATGTGAAGTGGAGCAGCCAGAAAACAAACCAGCATGCATATGGGATCTTGGCACTTGAAGGGAGAGGATTTGCCACTTGAGCCATTGTGCTGAGTCCAAATGGGAGTTCTATCTCTTCCTAAAGGTCATGCTGTCTGCCTCTCAAATAAATAAATACAAATTTTTACCTCTAAAAAATTAATAAGAGTGTGTTATGCTACTTGGGATGCGTCCATCCTATTTCAGAGTACCTTGATTCAACTCTCTGCTTTCTTATTCCTGCTCATGAGTACTCTGGGTAGCAGCAGGGAACAGTTCACAGGTTTGGGACCCTGCCACCCAACTACAAAATCAGGATGGTGTTCCAAACCCCAGTTGTAGCCTGGCCCGGGACCAGCTATTGTGGTCATTTGGAAGATGAATCAAGGGACAGAAGATCTTTTTCATATTCTCTCTTACAAACAAAATACAATAAAAAGGGGCCCAGCATCGTGGCCTACTGGCTGAAGTTCTCGTCTTCAACACACTAGTTCTAATCCAGGCAGCTCCACTTCCCATCCAGCTCCCTGCTTGTGGCCTGGGAAAGCAGTCAAGGACAGCCCAAAGCCTTGGGACCCTGCACCTGTGTGGGAGACCTGGAAGAGGTTCCTGGCTCCCGGCTTTGGATTGGCGCAGCACCAGCCATTGTGGTCACTCGGGGAGTGAACCATCGGATGGAAGATCTTCCTCTCTGTCTCTCCTCCTCTCTGTGTATCTGACTTTGCAATAAAAATAAATAAATCTTTAAAAAAAAAAACCCAAAAAACAAAAAAACAGGAAACTGGATCTGAAGTGGAATTTCAAGGACTTGAACCAACCTCCATACAGGATGCTGTTGTCACAGGTGTAGGCCTAAGTTGCTGTGTCACAAAACTGGCCTCAAGCAGGGAGTATTCTTAGCACTAAGACCCAGCCACAGATTGTAGTAAATTGTATTAAATTGTATTAGAAAAACCAGACCAAGGGGCTAGAAAGCTGGGACAGTGAGTTAAGTTGTGGGCTACCATATGCTACCATATGGAGCACCAATTTAAGTCCCACTGGCCCCACTTCTAATACAGCCCCTCTGTAACTCTGCCTTTCAAAAAAAAAAAAAGACCAAAAAATGTGGCCAATGCCATGATGCATCAGGATAAGCTTCTATGTGTAGTTTATGTTTCCCAAATGGGGATCAGTCAGAATGCCAGTCCTGCAAGTGCTAGGGCTGGGCATACATCATTTAAAGCTTGTCTACAATACCCTTGACATGCCCAAGATCTGGGGCTGGGAACATGCCTGGCAGGGGAACTCTGGGCACACTCCTCCTAGACTGTACCTACATGAGAACCAGGACTGGGGTGGGCCAGGCTGAATAACTTGGCAGCACCCATTAGCATACGGGTGGGCTGGTCTGGGAGGTGGGGCAGGCTAAGCTAAGCCACAGCACACATGGGTGTTTACAAGAGCTGGATGGGATGTGGGCTGGGCCAGGTTAGGCTGCTACAGAGGATGGCATGTGCAGAAACTGGGGCAGAACTGGGCCTGGTAGCAGCTATTGGGAGTCATCCCAACTAGCCGCAGTACACGCTGGTATGCCTGAGGACTGGGCACACTGGCTGGGCTGGACCACAGTACCCATTGGATCCCATGAGGTATGGGGCTGGGGCAGAACTGACCAGACAGCTGCATCCACAGGTATATGTGTTGGCTGATGAAAGTAAGGGATTTAACCTGACCCTGCACTAGCTGGCTCACACAAGAGTCAACTCTGAGGTTACCCTAGATGCAGTTTCTCAGGGGATTCCTCAGCTGGATGGTGGACTTAGACCCTGGTTACAGGGAATAATCACAGGATGTATGGTCGACCTTGGAGTGTGTGTATCAGGATTGGGCCTTCCCAGCTGCCGATGCCTGTGTGGTGGACAGCATGCCCAGATGCTCATGGAAGACATGACATGACAGCCAGCTGACCTAGGGCACCAATGGACATTAGCTGCTTTGTCATAGACTGGAAAATACGTTGGACAATTCTCCTGGTCAAACTAACAGCAAGGGTCTAGGTCTGTGGATGCGCTAAGATGGATTTTGTTAACCATTTGATCTTGGAAAGATTTTTTTTCACTCTTGGAGCCAGAAACCAACCATCAAAACCACTCAAGTAATACTCCTGGAACACTCTTCCCTACATCGGGGTCTCTAACGCATCAGCAAATGATCACTCCCCCATTCCCGGGTGCTGATGCAGTTTGACAGCAAGGAGCAAACCCTCCCTCCACCCTGTAGACACAGGGAAAAAAGCAAAACTGAGACAGTTGTCCGACTTACCTCCCTCCATACCTGATCCTCCCCACCCTAATCAGAGGCCCACATGGGTGTGCATCCCTCTCAATTATGTAAACAATATTAAAATGAAAAGAAAAAATCCCTGAGCATATGGAACTATACTATAAAAGATAAAAAATATTTTTAACCTTAAAAAAAATTTTTAGGGCCCAGCAGCATGGCGCAGTGGCTAAAGTCCTCACCTTGAACATGCCCAGGATCCCATATGGGCGCTGGTTCTAATCCAGGCAGCTCCACTTCCCATCCAGCTCCCTGCTTGTGGCCTGGGAAAGCAGTCTAGGACGGCCCAAAGCCTTGGGATCCTGCACCTGCATGGGACACCAGGAAGAGGTTCCGGGTTCCTGGCTTTGGATAGGTGCAACACCGGCCATTGTGGTCACTTGGGGAATGAATCATTGGACGGAAGATCTTCCTCTCTGTTTCTCCTCCTCTCTGTATATCTGACTTTGTAATAAAAATTAAAAAAAAAATTTTTTTTTATTGGAAAGTCAGACTTACAGAGAGAAGGAGATAGAGAAAGAGCTTCCACATGCCAGTTCATTTCTCAAGTGACCACAATGGCCACAGCTGAGTTAATCCGAAGCCAAGTGCATCTTCTGGGTCACCCACATGGGTGGAGGGACTCAAGGCTTTGGGCTGTCCTCTACTGCTTTCCCAGGCCACAAGCAGGGAGCTGGAAGGGAAGTGAAGTAGCTGGGACATGTACCAGCGCCCATACTGGATTCTGGCAGATGCAAGGCAAGGATTTAACCACTAGGCTACTGCACCGTCCTCCCACCAAAAAAACCTAAAACATATACATATACATATATATATATGCATATATATATATATATATATATATATATAATTCTCTAGAAAATCCGAAGGGAATAGATAATCAAATTTTGTGAACAGGCCAGTTTCACTAAGCATGATAAAGAAGTTCCCTCAATTTTAATCCTTGCCAGAAAATGTAAACTGATGTAAACCAATCAGTTACTTACCTATGGTTCTGTCCTCATCTTACAAAGGAAAGTGACTGCAAGAACTCTTCGTTCTCTCTTTTTGCTTTCTTCTGTCCCTCTGTATCCACACAGCCACCTTGTTTAGCTTAATGGAACAATCCATAATCAAAGATGAAGACAAGGTTTTCTAAATAGCTGTTCAGAAACAGTTGTGGAGGCTGACCTGGTCTAACTTCAAGCAGCAGGCCGTAGAGAAGCAGTAACGGAAAAACACTGCTGTGTGAGTTCAGAACTAACTGAAAGTCTGCCATCATTTATACACCAAGTTAGGTCATTCGGAGAAATAAACAGCATAGTTAACACAAAAAAATACTCTATACTTTTTATTTTATAATTCTACCTTATTAACAATCAGTAAGCATCCTATCAACCAGCCCAAAGATAGTTTGTTAACAAAGGAAAATTTAGGTAGCAAAAATGTCTAATTACAATCTGTATTAATTTGAAAAACAAATACAGCTCATTCTTATTTCAATTCACTCATCTAAAAATAAACATTTCATTTTCTATGTTTTTACAATGTTTACCCTCTACAGAAGTAAAAAGTAAAGCACTGAACAGAAAAGTAATTGTGTAAAATTAGCTAAAACATACCAGAGGGATCCCTGACGTTTCTAATTAGTTCTGAAAAACTTCAAACAATACCTAGGAATGTCAAGTGGTCATTAAGATTTCAGTTCTGTTCCTTGAATTATATTCCGAATCTTCTCGGCATCATGTCGTACAATTTTGTTGGCTGGGTCAATCTTAAGTGCAGCTTCATAATCCTGTAGTCCTATATTCATGCAGCAATGATAATTGATAAATACTTGATAAGTACTTCTCTTAACAAGCCAACATATCCTTTTAAAATCAACACCTTTTTTGGGGGTGGGGGGAATCCACCACAGTGGCCTAGTGGCTTAAGTCCTTGTCTTGAATGCAGCAGGATCCCATGTGGTCATTGGTTCTAATCACAGCAGCCCCACTTCCCATCCAGCTCCCTCCCTGCTTGTGGCCTGGGAAAGCAGTCGAGGACAGCCCATAGCTATAGGATGCTGCATCAGTGTGGAGACTTGGAAGAAGCTCCTGGCTCCTGGCTTCAGATCGGCACAGCACGGGCTGTTGTGGTCACTTGGGGAATGAATCATTGGACGGAAGATCTTCTCTCTGTCTCTCCTCCTCTATTTATATCTGACTTCCAATAAAAATAAATAAATCTTTTTTAAAAAATCAACTACTTTTTGTTGTTGTTCTGTTCTGTTTAAGATTTATTTATCTTAGAGACAGACTTGGAGGGGAGAAAATGAGGAAGACAGAGAGACATAGAGAGATGCCAGCACTGCAGTCCCCAGCCCTAGCCCTATCAAACCAATATCTTTTAAAAAATATTTACTTATTCTTATTGGTAAGGCAGATATACAGAGAGGAGGAGAGACAGAGGAGAAGAACTTCCATGTACTGATTCACTCCCCAACTGGTTGCAACGGCTGGAGCTAAAGCAGTCTGTAGCTGGGAGTCCAGAGCTTCTTTGAGGTCTCCCACAAGGGTGTAGGGTCCCAAGGCTTTGGGCCATGTTCTACTACTTTCCCAGGCCACATCAGGGAGCTGGAAGGGAAGTGGAGCAGCTGGGATACGAACCAGCATCCACATAGAATGCAGGCAGAGGATTAATCAGGTCAACCATCATGCCAGCTCCTCCGATTATATTCTTAAATGCTAGAAGATTGGGAGTTACATGTAGCTGGGGGTCTCTCTAAGCCCAAACAGGGCTCCAAATCTGTACTACCTAATTGGAGTCTCATCTTCACAATTTATTAACCATTTTTATCTTTTTTCAAGGACTTATTTTATTTTTATTACAAAGTCAGATATACAGAGAGGAGGAGAGATAGAGAGGAAGATCTTCTGTCCGATGATTCACTCCCCAAGTGCTGTGCCTATCCAAAGCCGGGAGCCAGGAGCCAGGAACTTCCTCCAGGTCTCCCACGCAGGTGCAAGATCCCAAAGCATTAGGCCGTCCTCGACTGCTTTCCTAGGCCACAAGCAGAGAGTTGGATGGGAATTGGAGCTGCTGGGATTAGAACTGGCGCCCATATGGGATCCTGGCGCATTCAAGGAGAGGATCTTAGCCACTAGGCCACGCCACCATGCCCAACCATTTTTATATTAATTGGATTCAAGGACATTATAACAGGTATGGACCATAAAATCTAAATTAGATGCTTTGATTGGAACCATATTTAAAAACAAAATCAGAAAGAAAAAAAAAAACTTTGTTATTTAGAGTCTATTCTTGGCAAGGTATCATCCATAGGAGGCCTCTAGGCCATTAGTAAAGGGAAACTAAAGGGAAACTTGCTGAAGAAGGTACATTAAATATAAACATAAAATATATATTAAACTCTGGATGTTAAATTATGTTTGAGATAACATGAATAACTAAAAATAGTTCAGAAATACGTTAAAAAATTACGGCCCGGTGCTACAGCCTAGTGAATAAAGTCCTCGCCTTGCATGCACTGGGATCCTGCATGTGCTGGTTCATATCCTGTCTGCTCCACTTCCCTTCCCTGTTGAGGCTTGGGAAAGCAGTAGATGACAATCCAAAGCCTTGGGACTCTGCACCCACTCGAAGGACGAGCAAGAAGCTCTCAGCTTCAGATTGGCTCTGCTGCGGCTGCTGTGGCCACTTGGGCAGTCAATCAGCAGACGAAGATCTTTCTCTGTCTCTCTTTCGCTCAGTAAATCTGACTTTGTGACAAAAATAAATAAATCTTAAAAAATTAAAATTAAAAAAACTAAAACAGTAAAATGGTATGATTTCTAAACATAAAGGGCTGAATTCTGGACCTCACTACTATTGTAAACAGAAGCAATGCCCCTGCATTGGATAAAAGAATTATTCTGAGCTTAGGTATCATTAGTATGTGTGTAACATTATGACAAAAGCGGCATATTTTAAAATTTTCATATTATCTCAAGTGAACCCCTTATGCCCTTTCTCATATAATATCTTTCTGCAGGAAAGTCTGATGTGGGCTGGTGTCATACCTATTCTCTACAGTGGATGTTTTAAGATCTAATTTTAAAATCATGTATCTTATTCAGATATATTACAAAGAACAAATTAGATGCAAAAAATCTAGTCCAAAAAAAAAAAAAAAGCCATGCCCTTCGATAATTCCTATGACATTTGTATAACTTTGAGCTTCAAATGTTTCTACCAACTCCTTACCTTCTACATACAATTCCAGCTGGCAGAACGCTGTTCCCCGTCGTACATGTGCCTTCACTCTTGCATTGGCATTGTCAGCAACAGGTGGGGTCAGTAATTCCAGTGCCTTGAAAATTGTATATATAATCAACAAGGGACAGACATCATTTTCCCGATTTAAACTTAAGCAAAATTATAGTAAAAATTTTAAACATTGCTCAGCTAAATGTTTTGTTTACTTGAAAAATGAATTTATCAAATACATATTTATAGTGATGTCTATCAATTTAGGAACTTGCTCTTTTTGTTTGTTTGTTTGTTTTTTACAATTTGCAGGTGTATTTTAATTTTGTTCTAAGACAAGTTACTCAGAAATAAAAGGCAAGTGAGGTTCTTTTCAGACCAAAATTTGTAAAAGTGGAAACAGTAATAGATGCCTTGATTCTATTTCTTCTTACAAATGGCTCTAAAAAATAGCCTGATAATTCATATAATTAGTTAAGCATACCAATCTTTATAAATGTATCCTAAATTTTAAGCTGTTGGCATTTAAATACTGGGTTCACATATGGACAAGTGTGCTAAATTGTACTAAATTTGCAGGGGGAGGAGGTTCCCTTGATTTTTGATGTTTTATTCTGATACTCAAGCAGAAAGCATATGACTTCATTTTATGCAACAAAAATGATCTATGAATGCAGAATTTGTAAAGATGAAGGAATTTCCAAGTTATATGTTGGTGCATAAGTGGTTTTATAAAATACACACATATAGCTATGAAAATAGTTACATATAAATGTAAACTGCAACCCTTGAATCCTTACAGATACCAAATCTAATACTCTTAGTCCTTTTCAATGATGCCAGGATTGATTCTCTTAAAGGTAAAACTGATACTACAATAACAATCTAAAAGGCAAAATAAACATGAAACAGGTTCTAAGCTATGAAATTTTGCTTACATAGATGATAAACTTCTGCTTCTGTTCAGTATCATTGTTACTTCAACAAAAGTGCTATGCTAGCTAACATTTAAATCATACAGGCTTAACTTTTATTGAGCTTCCAAATTTTCAACAGGCTGATCCAAAACCTATGTGTGTGTGTAATTTTAAAAACAAATGAAGAGTCAACATAATGAGAATGCACTGTTTCTGCCAGGTTCACTTTTCAACCCATCCTGCCTCCCCAGTCTTTCATTTTATCCCTCACAATTTCATAGCAGATTGTCCAGACTTTTCCTGCTGGGCCAGCCAGTGATGGAATCTAAATCTCAAATGCTACTTTTAAGAAGTGTAGAGTAAATAATTTTGGTAATCTGTAAGACAGCTGCATGCAGTGTATGCTGTACCCTTTATAAAAACCAAGCACTCCCTCCTCCTGCCTTAGCGCTCTTTCTCTTCATAGCCAAGGTCATTGTTGTCAATTACTGTGAGTGTTCCTTCAATGTGAAGGCCGTGCAAAACTGTTTCCAATGGGAAAAGTATAATGTCAGAACAAAGACTGGCAGCCAAGTTAGCATTAAGCTCTGGAAAATCAGCATCCAACATACTCTGCACAGGGCTAGTGCTCTCAACTATGTGGCTATTGTACGTCTTTCTCTTTAGAACCAGCAGAGCCACCTCTGAATGATCAAGCTGATGACGTAATGAAGAACATCACACAGCGCTGTGGGGAGGATCAAGCAAAGAAGCAGAAGAAGTCACCTGTTTGAGGCACTCCCCGGCCTTTAATAGGATTGTATCATCTCAATAGGCCGCATGATCTCAAATTATTCCACTTTGTACTGTTTCCATTAGACTTACTGAATAAAAAGACATTGCTATTATATAAGTTAGGGATTTCAGTAGAGGGTGTTCTCTTATTTGTTTAGGATTTCGTTTGTATGAAACCTCCCTAGGCAGAGGTGTGAATTCACTAATTACGCCTTCAACTCCAAGAGTGACTCCTTGGACAATAAATGTACTTCCAATTCCTTTTCACAAGATTTTTGGTCCCTGAGTTTTGTTGAAGCTGTACATAATACCAATGACTGTAAATGGAATGAGGTGATAATGCCAAGCATCGGCGTAGAGCAATGCAAGGATGGGTCAGTACATTTTCTGTAAAAAGACTTGCAAGTCCAATACCAAATCCAGGAAATCTAGTCAACTTTTCGCTGTTCTGGGCCTGCTCCCCGCATGCTCCCGTGCCAGCGCTAGAAAAGGGCTCCTCCTCGTGCAGCGTTGAGGCCCAATGCACACCATACGGCGCTTTTCGCCTCAGTGCAGTTGTGGCTGCCTGGCATGTCAGAGTTTTCACCCACTGCCCCAGCTCTGAATCAGAGGGAAAGCACCGCCAAAAGCCCTGCTCGTTTCAGGTCCCACCCCAGTAGTCCAAGCCATCGAAACCCTCTGGGCACCGCGGGTGCATGGCTGTGGGTGCATGGGCAGGACAAGGAGGGCTTCCTCGGGGACCAGCACTTCCAGGACCATGACCTAGGGCCATGCGCTTCCAGACCCGGGCGGCTGCATCCTGACATTCTAGGACTTGCTCATTTGTTGCTATACAGGGTTCACAGCCCCTCAAAGTTGATGACTCAACTTCATATTTGAAATTTTATTTTAAAGGTTTGATTATTTTGGGGCCAGCACAGTGACTAAACTCACTAATCTTCCACTCCAAGGGTCAGCATCCCATATGGGCATCCATTCATACCCCAGCTGTTCCACTTTGCATCCAGCTCCTTGCTTGTGCCCTGGGAAAGCAGTGGAGGATAGCCCAAATCCTTGGGCCCCTGCATGAGAAACCCAGAAGAAGCTCCTGGCTCCTGACTTTGGATCAAATCAGCTCTGATCACTGCAGCCACTTAGGGAGTGAACCAGCAGATGGAAGATGTTTCTCTCTTTCCACCTCTTTGGAAAGCTTCCTTTCCAATGGAAATGGGGGGACTGGGAAGATTTACTTGTTTTTATTTGAAAGGCAAAATTACACAAAGGAGAAACAGAGATCTTCCACCCACCGGTTCACCATAATGATTGGAGGTGGCTTGGTCAAAAGCCAGGAGTTTTTATTTTTTTTTAATTCACTTATTTTCACTGGAAAAGTAGGTTTACAGGGAGAGGAGACACAGAGAAGATCTTACATCTGCAGGTTCATTTCCAAGCAGCCAGAGCTGAGCTGATTTGAAGCCAGGAGCTTCCTCTGGATCACCAACATGGGCAGAGGTTTCCAAGGACTTGGGTCATCCTCCGTTGCTTTCCAAGGCCATAAACAGGAAGCTGGATCAGACATGGACAGCTGGGACACGAACCAGGGCCCACATGGGATGCTGGTACTTTAAGGTAGAGGATTAGCCTATTAAGCCACAGTGCTGGCCCCAAGCTGGGAGTTTTTCTGAAACTCCCACATGAATGCAGGGTAAAGGAGTTAGGAGACCTTTTGCTGCCTTCCCAGCACATCAGCAGTGGATCCAGCACATCAGCTGGAAGTGGATCCACTGGGACTCAAACTGATGCCCATATGGGATTACAGCACTGCAAACAGAAAGCGCAACCTGAGCCACATAGCACCTGCACTTGAAATTTCTGCAGTTGTATCTATTAGCAGGAATAATGAAGTAGCATTTGTAATCTTTTGTTTTCCAATTGGGTGGTTTAGCTCATTCATTCAGCAAATATTTTTGCACAAATTTACACTACTTGGGGTTCACATAGTAGCTTAACAGGTAATCTTCTGACTGTGGCACCAGCATCCCTTGTGGGTGCCAGTTTGTAGCCCAGCTGCTCCCCTTCTCATCCAGCTCCCTGCTTACCACCTGGAAGACAGTGGAGGATAGCTCAAATTCTTGAGCCCCAGCGGCAGACCAAGAAAGACACTCTTAGCTTCTGGTTTCATATCAACCTAACTCTGGCCATTGTGGCCATTTAGGGGGTGAAGCAACAGATTAAAATTCTCTCTGTAAATTTATCTTTCCAATAAAAATAAATATTTAAAAAATATATAATCCATTAAAAATTATATTACTCAAAGGAAAACTGGATCATAAAAATATTACGAGGTCAAAGCACAAGGAACACCCTAAATTTCAAGTAGCCATGTAAGAGATTTTGCGTGTAATATTCTTATACAATATTACATTGTTAGGACTGAAAAGAAAAAGCTGCAGAAGTTGAAGACTTTCACATGAAATAATTAGTAATGGTAGGCCCAACAGAATGGCTCAATGGATTAATCCCCCTCGTTTACTAGGATCCCATATGGGCATTGGCTCACATCTGGCTGCTCCACTTCCAATAGAGCTTCCTACTTGTGGTCTGGGAAGGCAGTAGAGGGTGATGCAAAGCCTTAGGACCCTGCACCCATGTGGGAGACCCAGAAGAAGCTCCTGGATTTGGATCCAATCAGCTCAGCTATGACTGCTGTGGCCACTTAGGGAATAAACCTGCAGATGGAAGATCTTTCTGTCTCTCCTTTCTGTAGATCTGCCTTTCCAATAAATATAAACAAATATAAACAAATCTTCTATAAAAGAAGAAATGCTACTAATGCAAATTAAGGATATAATAAGTGATCCTGAAAAGGGAAAACTGAAAAAGGAGCTGTTCTTTTCCACAAAGTCTTAGAAATAACAAGGGAATACCCAGTTTCTTCCTTGTATCTTGCATTAAGTCTGCAAAACTTTAATAATAAAAAAAGGCAGGCCCTGCTAATGGCTCAACTGCCTAATCCTCCACTTCAAAGAAGCAGCATGCCATATGGGTAACCCAGCTACTCCACTTCCCATCAGCTCTCTGGTTGTGGCCTGGGAAAGCAGCAGAGGATGGTCCAACACCCTGGGACCCTGCACCCACATGGAAAACCTGGAAGAGGCTCCTGATTCTTGGCTTTGGACTGGCTTGGCTCTGGGAATTGCATCTATTTGGGGAGTGAACCAGTAGATGGACGATCTTCCTCTCCTGTCTCTCCTTGTCTCTAAATCTGCCTTTCCAATAAAAATAAACCTATCTCTTTCTTTAAAGACAAGCAAAACTGAAAACCACTTGTAAATTTCTTTATGAAACTCAACAGCTATGTCAAGACAACAGTTGCTGGGAGTCTCTAATTTTAAGTCTCAAAAAAAATAAGCTGCTTGTTCATTTAAAAAAAATAGGTAAGAGATATAATAAGCAACACAATTCCTGAAATTCTTCTATCTCAACTTAAAAAAAGTATTATTATTATTGTTATTATTATTATTATTTATTGGAAAGGCCGAGTTACACAAAGAGAAGTAGAGACAAAGATCTTCCATCCACTGGCCCATTCCCCAAATGACCTCAATGGCTGGGGGTGAACTGGTTTGAAGCCAGTAGCCTCCTCCAGGTCTCCCACGTGGATAAAATGGTCTAATGTCATAGGCCAGCACCTGGTACCCTCCCAGACCATACACAGGTAGCTGGATGGGAAGTGGAGCATCAGAGACTCAAATCAGCACTCAAATGGGATGTCAACATTGCAGATGGAAGCAAAGCCAGATATATCACTGTGCCAGCACCTGTATCTCAATTATTTTAACAAAGTTTATTTTATCATTTAAACAAATAATAAGAAAATAAGAATTTCAAAGCACCACATAAAACAAATACCTGGCATACCTTAGAAGAGTCTTCAATTGTCTTGTGTAAGTTTTTTAGTTTTAGGTGGCAAGCAGCTCGATTCAGATACAAAAGTGGGATCTTATTGTTCAGGCGTATGGCTAAGTTGTATGCATTGATGGCTGCCAGATAGTTTTCCATTGCAAACAATTTGCTAATGAGACAAACACAGAAAAGCAAGAGAAAAGATCGCGAAGACAAAACACACAGAAATTATGCTTCGGAATATTTAGTAGAGCCAATGCCTTTCCTCCTTTGGCATTCACAAGATTGGTGACAACAGCCCCATGTCTTTGTCATATTCACCAGCAAATACATTCACACCAATGATGGCCACCAGAAGTTTCTACAATGACTGATCGAGGGATGGGCTTGTGAATAGACCTGAGTCTATTGAGAATAAGGCTTCATAACTGGTTCTAAGGTTAGAGAACAAAAACATTTCCCCTTGATTTATATGAATAAAAATCATGTAGCCCAAATTGTTGCTGATCATTTCAACACCAGAAGAGGAACTAAACTAAAGTTGACTTAGGACTACGTAAGGAATAAAAAGAGAGAAAGAAACTGCATCCTTTGTAATACAGTTAAGGTAGAATGCAATTTAACTTTTTTGTTACATAAGCCAATAAATTTCCTGACAAACAGAGCCAGAGTCATGGGCTTGCACAAAGGCACAACGACTCAGCACTAAGAACATAGGAAGAGAAAGCATGATGCACAATAAAGCAACAATGTAGGGCTTAATGGCTATTGGACTTGTTACAGTTCTCCAGAGAAAAGCACAGGGTGTGCTGGATAACATTTCGCCATGTTAGACTGTATCATCTAGTGACATTGTAGCCACCTTCATTTCTGTAAGTACTAACTAATGACATATTTCTCAAAACATATTGCTACTGTAGACACGCGAGTATGCAGATACATAGGAAGTTTATTATGACAGATGATGCACACAATTACAGAGGTTAAGTCCTATGAACTGCCACCTGTGACCTGGAGGCTCAAGAGAGCTGCTAGTACAGTTCCAAAGCCACAGATACTCAGACATAATGTTTGAACTAGATCTGAAGCACAGTAGCCAGGACTCAAACTTAACACACTGACATGTGATGCCAGCATTGCAGACAGCAGCTTAGCTCACTGTGCCAAAATGCAGGTCTTCAGGCCTATCTTTCCAACCACACAGCATAGCATATGGATCTTCCTGTGGGGTAAACAGAATTTTTTGTTTGTTTGTTGCTATTCACTATAATTAAGACAGTATGTCCTTACAGGGCTAAAGTTAACAGAGTTGTTGGCAACATTCTTATGAAAAATGACACTAAGTTTGGCTTCCCTCAGCTATGACAAAAGCACTGTAGGCACAGCATCCTCCTGGGCCTACCTCAGGCCTTGTGGAACTTGTGCGCCAAAGAAAAAGAACATAAAGCTCAGGTTTCTTGCTGTGCCTCGAATAATAAAGCCCTTTGTCTCTGAATCCCCTTGTCTTCTGGCAGTGTCCATAAAACCACAGTAGGCTAGTCCATCACAGTACTTGCCAGGGAATGGATCCAAACCCAAGTGCTCAGAAGAAGTTCAATCTGACAAACAGAAGTGTGTACTGCACTGGGAGAAGATGGTAACAAGGAGCTAACAAGGAACTTCAAAAAGTTCAACATAAAGTAAAAAGCTATTTACACCAGCAGATGGAAGGCAGTTACAGAAAACTCAGAAAAAGCAAATATACAGGAATTCAGGCTAGTTCAAGTTGGGACTAGAGAAGCCTGTAAGAATGTCACAGGCTGTACACTAAACTGAGTTTCAAAAGCAGAATTATCCTGAGCAACAAGGTAAATCAAACACAAAACAAAGCCTCGATCTTTAAAGGACTAGGGTATTAGACACACTACAAAACCTAGCACTCAGAGAAAAAAAAGTTCAGATACTAGCATTACTATAGCAAGTGAGTTTTTACAAAGATTTATTTAATTATTTGAAAGGCAAAGGGTCAGAGAAAGAAAATTCTTTCATCCACTGGTTCCCCACGTGGCGACAGGGGTAAGGGTTCAGCCATGTTAGGGGCGGTAGCTGTCAAGAACTCCACCCAGATCTACTACACGAGATGACCTTTTGGGTCATCTTCTGCTGTTTTCCCAGGCACATTAGCAGCAAACCAGATCAGAAGTGGTATAGCCAGGAATCAAACTGGTGTTCCAGTGTAGGACACTGACCTCGCAAGCAGGAAGTAAACTGACTACATTACTGCATTATATGTTTTGACCCTTAAATTATCTATCAATCCAACTAAGATTTACCTCATGGAACTTTTGAGATTATTTACTGATTTGAAGGGTAAAATCATAGAAACAAAGAGGGAGGTACAGTTAGAGAAGAGCTCTTCCATCTGCTGGCCCTCTCCTCGGAATGGCCAGGACTGGCTAGGATGAGGCTAATCAGAAGCCAGGAACTTAAGACCCCATCTGGGTCTCCCAGATAGGAGGCGCCAGGGGCTCAAGCACGTGGCTTATCTGCTGTTGCTTCCTCAGGCCTTAGCAATTAATGTTCTGTAACAACACTAATGTGATGGTGGGCACTAGATGGTAGTTATAAGACCTAATTACTTCTCTCACATTATAAACTGCGTTAGAGAGATTTGAAGATGGGATTGAGGTGACACTAATATGGTCAAAGAAGCGTATGGTCAATATAGAGCCCAACAAAACCCACTAAAATTCAAGCAAAATAATGTCAAAGGGAATGAACAATGTCAGGAAACACTTCAATAGCAGAATGATGGACTACTACCCACTGTAATACTAAAGGGGATCAGTAGTGAGGAAGTGGGGATTTGGGGAAGGGGATGGGATCCCAGAACTTACAGAGCTGTACCATAAAATAGAAATAAATATTTTAAAAGGGACAGAACAATGACGCATGTACTTAATATGATTACAAGTGTGTGAAAAGGTAGCTATTAAAAGATATTTACAAAGTCCAAATCATGTTAAGTACAGCTGTAAAATAACATCATACCATGCACACACATACATTACAGTACCTAGACTGTTTTATATGAGATGCTCTCAGTTCAAAGCTATCTGGTACAATGTTAATTCCAAAAGAAAAAATGCTTTCATAAGAAAATAAAACAATCTAAGCTATACTTACATTTTCTGAAAAGTAGATGTGACTTTTTTTTGAAGATTGATTTATTCTTATTGGTAAGTCAGATATATGTCGAGGAGGAGAGACAGAGAGGAAGATCTTTCATCCATTGATTCACTCCAAGTGAGCACAACGGCCAGTGCTTCACCAATCTGAAGCCAAGAGCCCGGAGTCTCTTCTGGGTCTCCCACACAGGTGCAGGGTCCCAAAGCCTTTGGGCCATCCTTGACTGCCTTCCCAGGCCATAAGCAGGGAGCTGGATGGGAAGCAGGGCTGCTGGGATTAGAACTCACACCCATATGGGATCCCAGTGCATGCAAGGTGAGACCTTTAGCCACTAGGCTACCGTGTAAGGTCCAGATGTGACTCTTAATAATAAGACACAGTATGAGCCCAGCAGCGTGGCCTAGCAGCTAAAGTCCTCGCCTTGAACATGCTGGGATTCCATATGGACGCTGGTTCTAATCCCAGCAGCCCCACTTCCCATCCAGCTCCCTGCTTGTGCCTTGGGAAAGCAGTCAAGGATGGTCCAAAGCCTTGGGACCCTACACCCGTGTGGGAGACATGGAAGAGGATGGTCTGGGCTCCTGGCTTCGGATTGGTGCAGCACTGGCCATTGTGGTCACTTGGTGAGTGAATCATCAGACAGAAGATCTTCCTCTCTGTCTCTCCTTCTTTCTGTGTATCTATCTGACTTTACAATAAAAAATAAATAAATCTTAAAAAATGAATTTGAACAATCAAAGAAGTTTTGGTTTTTAAGAAATCCTACATTACAAGAGAGATATTAGGAAGTGCTCAGATTAAATATTAACAATCTTTGTTATACTTAACTTTTAAATATAGAGGTCCTGCTGACCTAATTTACTTATTTGCACTAATAACATACATACGGACAAACTCACCTGCTAAAGCACCCAGAGAGTGTGATAAGCACCGACATCTACAGACAAGTGTCACGGCCAGAATTCACACACTTACTTTCCTTTGTCCTTCAACCACTCTGGATTCTTTTCGTCTTCCTTTAAATCAGAAAGCTCAGGAATATCAGTGTTCATTGCTCTTCGTGCCTCAGCTTGTTTGTGCAGCCACTGAAAGGAAAACTGAGACTTAGGAAGGACAAATTTGGTCCATCTTATGTCACTATAACAAAATACCTGAGGCTGGGTACTGTACAAGTGGCAGTCCCAGGATCACACATACTAAACATCACCTATTTCATAATACCATCACAACATTCCGAGATCATGTCACCAGCACGTACAGTTTTGGGAGCTGAAGCATGCCCAGGCCACAGCAGACACATAAGTCTTTTTATTAAAAGCAACTCCTAGAATTGTTCCTCTTTCTCCAATGGAAATATCATTGTTATGGACTGAATGTTTCTGTCCCATCCCCAAAATATGCTGACGCCTCAACCACACAATGGTATTTGGAGATGGGTTTTTGGGAAAGATTCAGGTTTGTTTATTTACTTTATATAATTTATCCTTTTAAAAACATATTCCCCCCTAGAATATTTGAGAGCTCCCATTCACTGGTTTACTCCCTGAATATTTGAACGGCCCTTGGCTGGAACCATAGCTAAATGCCAGGAATTCAATTCAGGTCTCCCACTTAGGTGGCAGTGACCCAATGACTCGAGCCAGCACTGTTGCCTACATTACCAGGAAGCTGGGGTCAGAAATGATAATCAGTATATGGGTCGTAGCTGTGATGTCCAGTGTCCATTTTTTTTTTAGAGTTTTTTATTTAAGGAGCTATAGACAGAGAACGGGAGAGAGAAAGGGAACCCCCATCTGCTGGTTCACCGCCCAGGTGGCCACAATGGCCAGGATTTAGCCAAGAGCGGGGAACTCCATCCAGCTTCTCACATGGCAGCAGAGCCTTGCAAACACTTGCGCCATTATTGCTTTCTCAGATGCACCAGCAAGGATTTGGATCAGAATGGAGCAGTTGGGACTTGAACACAGAGCTCATATGGGATGTCGGTCTCTCAGGCATCAGCTTAACTTGCTGTACCACAATACTGCGACCCCTTGTCTGGCATCTTAAGTGATAGGCTAAGTGTTTACCTTAGTAATTAGGTTTAGATGAAATCGTGAAGATGCAGTGCCTGCGATGGGATTGGTATCCAAATCAGTTCTCTGTCAACCTTGTCTTTCAAATAAACAAATCTTTCTTTTTAAAAAAAAAAAAAAAGATTTAATTAAAAATTCTTTGATGACACCAGCATTGTGGTACAACAGGTTAAGCCACTGCCTGCAGCACCATCATTACATGAGTACTGACTGGAGTCCTGGCTGCTCTGTTTGCAGCCCAGCTCCCTGCTAACACGCCTAGGAAAGCAATAGAAGATGGCCCAAGTTCTTGGACCCCTGCACCCGGGTGGGAGACCCAGATGGAGTTCCTGACTCCTGGCATGGGTTGGCTCCTTGCCTGGATATTGTGGTCATGTGGAAAGTGAGCCAGCAGACAGACTCTCTCTCTCTCTCTCCTTCTTTCTCTCTTTGGCTTTCTTTCTCTGTGGATCCCCTGCCTTTCAAATAAATAAAAAAACTATATAACTAAGATATAATATTTGTAATCCAAGAATCAGAAATTTATAAATCAATGAAAGATGCCTAATTCCAAAATGTCAAATTAGAAATACCTGTTACTAATAATATTTTAACAACAATTAATGAATCTCTCTTCTTCCAAAACACATACTTCTATAAAATTTCTAAATCTACTATAATGATGTATTTTATCAAATAAGTGACTAACATTTTATCTCTTTTATTTATTTATTTTTGAAGATGTATTGACTTTTATTGGAAAGACTGAGACAAGGAGAGACAGAGAGAAAGAGTTTAAGTTCACTGGTTTACTGCTCAAATGACTGCAATGGCCAGAGCTGAGCCAATCCAAAGCCTGGAACCAGGAGACTCCTGCAGGTCTCCCACACAGGCGCAAGGTCCCAAGGCTCTGGCCCACCCTCTACTGCTTTCCAGGAGCACAAGCAGGGAACTGGATGTAAAATGGAACAGTCAGGACACAAACGCGTCCATATGGGATCCCAGCGCATGCAAGTTGAGGACTCAGACACTGAGCCATCATGCTAGGCCCTATATATCTAATAAGCAACAATACTACATACTAAATCAATATGTTGTCATCAGTATTACAGAATCAAAATATCTGCAAAATACACCTTAAGGAAATACTAACATATACTATGACAGTACCTGTAGTATAACCAATATTTATTTCAGAACCAATGTTAGAGTCAACAGATAAAATACAAATACAACAATTTTTTTTTGCAATTATAACGAAAGCAAATGGATGTACCTCCTCCTCTTCCGCTGCCTGAGATTCACGAAGAGCTGTGGGGAATGCTCGAGGGGTAAAGTTGATCTTGATACTGCCAGCAGAGCGAGGAGCAGGAATGCTGTCTTCCTTTAACTTCTCAAAGAATATATTGCCTGAATCTCTCCCTTCAAAAATGATGGTAAGCAAATGTCACTTATTTCACACTTTTTAGTGTGCCAAACTGACTTTGAAGCTAATTCCAAATAAGCCAGAAGTGTTTTCAGCAAGAAGGAACAGACTGTCCATCTCTGATAATATGGCAGGTAGCTGTCTGTTCTTCCGTCAGTGACTCCCGCTACTCTACCTTTATTCTGCCACAGCGTCTGGTCACATCATAAACAGGAGGACGCCCTGAGCAACGCTATACCAACCTGAGACAGGCACCTAGACCAAGGCACCTTGGCCAGCAGCACTTCTGTTTACTTAGGCACCAACAGCAATGTCTCCTACATATGTCCTTGAGACCATATAGAAGCCTTTCAGCGACTACAGAGATCTAATGACACTAGGCAAAGGCTACAAATGGAAACCTACATGATATTATAATAGTGGTTAGGTGTCATGGTTGTAAAATTAATGTAAGAGGGGACTGGAGCTGTGGCATAGCACATCGAACCACTGCCCGTGATGTCTGTCATATCAGTATTCCTTGTGCCTGCCGCATCCAGTCTCAGCTGCTCCACCTCTGACCCAGGTCCCTGTTAACGCACCTAGGAAAGCACAGAAGATGAGCAGGTGCCTGGGCCCCTGCCACCCTGGTGGGAGACCTAGATGGAATTTCAGGCACCTGGTTTCAACCTGCCTCAGTCTTGGCTGCTGCAGTCCTTTGGGGGAAGTGAGTGAGAGGACAGATCTCTTTGTCCATCTCTGCACTTCTGTAGCTCTGCTTTTCAAACAAAAACAGATCTACACATATAAATATACATATAAAAGAAAACAACCTAAGAGTAGCAATCAATCTATGCTAGTCTAAAAGAGAGGAAATGTAGCTTTAAAATAACCCATAAAAGTATCCAAGATTATGATAAAAAAATGTAAGTATCAAAACTGGGGGTGGGTGGAAGATGTGCAGCAAAACAACACGCAACAATATTACTGACAGGAAACAAACCAATAATAAAGAATGACCAGTAAAACAAACAACAGCAACAGCAACAAAACCTGTGACAGTGGCTGAGTAGCCACTTCCTAGGAGGTGAGCATGGAAAATGGTCTCCTGGACCCAGAGATGGCAGCCAAGCGATGTGATGGCAGAGGGGAACCGCACCAGCCGGGATGGCCTTATGGTACTGAGTCATCCACCAAACCTACATGAATCACTGTACAGTACAAACTGCTATATTACAGAGCACCGAAAGGCTATCCTGTTGCATCTGTATTTTTAGATCTCTTTATTACAGTGGTTAGCTTGAATTATCTAAATATACTGTCCCAAGAATTTTATACCCAAGTAAATTATTGCTTACTTATGAGTGCAATTTCCAGGTATGTGGTGACTCAATCCACATCACTTAACCAGCTTTTCTAAGTAAATTACACAAAGAAATGTTCTAGAACATGAAAAGTGACAAGATTGGGAATTTGGAGGGCAAAAATGTAAAAAGGCTGGGCTTTCTAAAAACAGTGGAGAGCATACCAAAAATATTAACAATATTTTAGTAATTTATTTATTTGAAAGGAAAAGGAATAATGAAAGGGAGAGGATGGGTGGGGGAAAGAGAAAGAAAAACAGAGGTAGGGGAGGAGACAGACAGAGAGAGAGAAATATGAATTTTCCACATATTCTTAAAGGCTGGAGGAGGAAGCTGGGAACCAGGGGCAGCCAAGCACAGCAGCCAGCCTTGCTGCCTCCCAGGGACTACGCTAACAGCAGGACGCGGGAGCCAGGAGTCAGAGTCAGCTATTCCACCGAGGCACTCTACCACGGGCATGGGACATGGGCAACTCAGGCCAAATGCCTGCCCCTTCTAATTGCTTTCTCTTTCATATTTTAAATCCCTTCATTAGTGTGTTCAATTTCCTGAACTATTTTCTTGGTCATAGTCTAACCATGTATTTACATTTTTATTTTACTCATTTCCATTTTATTTCTTTTCCTAAGCTTTATTGATTTTTTATTGGCAAGACAGGTTTACACAGAGGACAGACAGAGAGAACTTTCATCCACTGCTTTACTCCCTAAATGACCACAACAGCTGGAGCTGAGTCAAGCCAGAAGTCAGGTGTGTCTTCCGGGTCTCCCATGTGGGTGCAGGATTCCAAGGCTTTCGGCCATCTTCCACTGCTTTTCCAGGCCACAAGCAGGAAACTGAAATTGAAGTGGAGCAGCCAAGACATGTACCAGCGCCTATATGGGTTCCTGGCACTTGCAAGGGAAGACTTAACCAACTGAGCCATTGTGTCGGGCCCTGTGTTCTGGTTTAATGATTAAAATGTGTTTTCATTTTTGAGAACACTGTTTCTTTCGTTTTCTTTGGCCCTTTACGTTACCAAATTGTTCCAAGACACATTATTCTGTTTCTTTCAACCAATTTTCTTATTTCCTTCAGACCTACATTTAGCCCATATTTTCAGGAGTACCTAGTTCTCCTAGAAAATGTAGGCACCTGGGCCTGGGGTGATGGCTCAGTGGCTAAATCCTCATCTTGCAAACAGCAAGATGCCATAAAGGTTTTTGTCCTCGTTGCTCTATTTCCCATCTAGCTCCCTGCCTGCGGCCTTGGAAAGCAGTAGAGGACGGGCCTAAGCCTTGGGACCCTGCACCCACGTGGGAGACCTGGAAGGGGATCCTGGCTCCTGTGTCTGAAAAGGCTCAGTTCCGGCCATTGCAGCCATCTCGGGAGTGAACCGGCGGACAGATCTTTCTGTTTTTCCTTCTCTCTGTATATCTGCCTTTCTGATAAAAATCAATAAATCTTAAAAGAAGAAGAAACTGTAGGCTCCTTTCTCCTCTCACCAAGTTTTTAGAGGCAAACAAGTTGATCGCTAAGTAAGTCCAAACTAGTTCAACAGGACCTAGCATTGTGGTATAACAGGACAAACTGCTGCTCGCCACGCCAGCATCCAGTCTCAGAATGCTAGTTTGAGCTCCTGGCTGCTCTGTTTCTGATCCAGTTTTCTGTTGACTGTTCTGTTATTTTTTTTAATTTTTTTTTAAAGATTTATTTATTTTTTTACAAAGTCAGATATACAGAGAGAAGGAGAGACAGAGAAGATCTGTCTGATGATTCACTTCCCAAGTGACCACATCGACCAGTGCTGCACCGATCCAAAGCCAGGAGCCTGGAGCTTCTTCTGGGTCTCCCACATGGGTTCAGGGTCCCAAGGCTTTGGGCTGTCATTCATGCCCTCCCAGGCCACAAGCAGGGAGCTGGATGGGAAGCAGGGAGCTGAATGGGAAGCAGAGTAGCAGGGACACAAATCCACAGCCATATGGAATTCTGGCGCTTGCAAGGTGAGGATTTAGCCACTTAGTTATGACACTGGGCCCTCCTTTTTCTTCTTTTTTTCTTTTTAAAGGTTTATTTATTTTTATTATCTGAAAGAGAGTAACAGAGAGGAGGACAAAGAAACAGGTGTCTTCCCAAGTGTCTACACCAGCTGGAGATGAGCCAGGCTGAAGGCCGAAGCTTGGCGTGCCAGCTGCATCTCCCACATGGCTGGGAGGGGTCCAAGTATCTGGGCCACTTTCTGTTTTCCCAGGCACATTAGCAGGGTGCTGAATCAAAAGTGAGGCAGGTGGGACTCGAACTAGTGCTCCAGTATACCAGCCCTGCTCTGCTCTTGTGAACTCTTGTTTATTCTTTGATCAGCTCCACAGTGTTTCCGCTACTATACCTTGATGCTAACACTTCAAATCAAGTAGAGTAAGTCCTTTTTTTGTTCTAATTTTTAAAAATTACTTTCGGTATTCTAGATCATTTACATGAACTTATCAGAGACAGATAGTCTAGTGGCAAAAATGCCCATTCCCCACAATAAACCGCTAGGTTCCACTCTGGACTGAAGCCCCAGACTGCAGGTTCCTGCCAGTGCAGACCCTGGGAGGGAACAGCGATGCTGGAAGAGGTTGAGTTCCTGTCAGTCATGTAGGGGAGCTGGACTGAGTGCCCATTTCCTAGCTTAGGCCCTGGCCACGCCCTGGCCATTGTGGACATCACGAAGCAGCAGGTGGGAACTTTCTACCACCACCTCAAATAAATAAACATAAAACTAAAAGGGCCTGGAATGATGGCTCAGCTGGCTCAGCCTCCCCTCATGTGCTGACTGCTCCACTTCCCATCTGGCTTCCTTCTTGTGGTCTGGAAAAGCAGAGGAGGATGGGCTAAGGCCTTGGGACCCTGCACCCACATGGGAGAACCAGACGAGGCTCCTTGTTCCTGGCTTCTGGCTTCAGATCAGCTCTGGCTGTTGAGGACATCTGGGGAATGAACCAGTGGACGGAAGCTCTTTCTCTCAGTAAGTCTGTCTTTCTAATAAAAATGAATAAATCTTCTTAAAAAAAACTAAAAAAAATTAACTCATCAAAATCTTACTGGAATTTGTTAAAATTTCATTGAATTTATAAATCAAAGTAAAGATAAGCAGCATTTTAACCAAAACGAATTTCCAATTTACAAACATACCATATCTCATGTGAGTCCTTTTAAATATCCCTCAATAATTTATTCTCCACCTTTCAGCTATTACACATTATATTTTGCTTAAATTTATTCCTAAATAGGGCCCAGTGTGATAGCGTAGTGGTTAAAGTCCTTGCCTTCAACATGCCAGAATCCCATATGGTCGCTGGTTCTAATCCCAGCTGACCTACTTCCCATCCAGCTCCCTGCTTGTGTCCTGGGAAAACAGTCTAGGACGGCCCAAAGCCCTGTGACTCTGTACCCGTGTGGGAGACCCAGAAGAGGCTCCTGGCTTCGGACTGGCTCCGCCCCAGCCATTGTGGCCGCTTGGGGAGTGAATCATCCGACAGAAGAAGATCTTCCTCCCTCTCCTCCTCTCTGTATATCTGACTTTCCAAATTAAAAAAAATATATATGGGCCCGGCGCGATGGCGCAGTGGTTAAGGTACTCGCCTTGCACGCCCTGGGATCCCATATGGCCGCCGGTTCAATCCCAGCATCCCCGCTTCCCATCCAGCTCCCTGCCTGTGGCCTGGGAAAGCATTTGAGGAAGGCCCAAAGCTTTGGGACCCTAAGAGGCTCCTGGCTTCAGATCGGCGCAGCACCGGCTGTTGCGCTCACTTGGGGAGTGAATCATCGGATGGAAGATCTTCCTCTCTGTCTCTCCTCTCTGTATATCTGCCTTTCCAATAAAAACAAAATAAATCTTTAAAATATATATATATATATTAAAAAAAGATCATTCCTAAATAGGTTGTTTCATAGTACTATTATAAAATGACTATATAATTTTCCAGTTTTCAGGTGTTGGTAAATAAGCTTACAGAAGGCCTTAACAATTTTATATGCTTAAACCTTGTTAAATTCACTTATTTATAGCACCAATTTTGGATATTTCTAGAGATTTCTGCTTAGTTATCTTCAAATATACAGTTTTACTTATTTTAATAAAATTCTTTCATTCACAAAATTTTTTTAAACTTTTTTTTTCAAGATTTATTTATTTATTGGAAAGTCAGATATACAGAGAGGAGGAGAGACAGAGAGGAAGATCTTCCATCCGATGATTCACTCCCCAACTGAGCCCAACGGCCGACGCTATGCCGATCCAAAGCCAGGATCCAGGAACTTCTTCCAAGTCTCCTACATGAGTGCAGGGTCCCAAGGCTTTGGGCCATCCTTGACTGCTTTCCAGGCCACAAGCAGGGAGCTGGATGGGAAGTGGAGCTGCTAGGATTAGAACCAGCGCCCATATGGGATCCTGGCATGTTCAAGGCAAGGACTTTAGTCGCTAGGCCATGCAGCCGGGCCCCACAAAATTTTTTTTTAATTTGAAAGGTGGAATTATATACAGAGAAGGAGAGACAGAGACAGCTTCCACCCACTAGTTCACTCTCTAACAGAACACGACAGTCTAACCTGGGCCAGTCCAAAACCAGCAGCCAGGGCAGGGGTCCAAGAACTTGAGTTACCCTTCACAGCTTTCCTAGGCCATATGCAGGGAGTTGCCTTGCAAATAGAGCAGCTGGAATTTGAGCCAGCGTCCATATGTGATGCTGGTACTGTTAAGCCCAAAAGATCCCCGAACTGTGGACAGACAGGTTCCACATGCAACAATGCAAAAGCAAAGAAACTTTATTGCTAGCTTGAGCTGGGGTCCATGTCTCATCCACCGCAGTGGAGTCTTGACAAGGACCCCGCTGGTCTCTTGCAGACTCTTTTTATTCCCTCCCTATGCTGTGCAGTCTTTATCTCGGTCATGTACAACTCGTACCAGTGTAGGCCACATTCCCATGCAACCCGTACCAGTGCACACCACATTCCCCTTGCAGACGTGTGGCTGCCCCTGACTGGTCCATCTCCAAGGTTGTTCCCCCGTCCACTCCATCACTCTGAGGAAAATGCAACTTTGAAGAGAAGTGAGACTTAGGCCGACTCCCCGACCTTAGGCCTATCATGGCATCAGTCCTGCTCTTCAGGCAGCAAAGCCAAGCAATGATTACAGAAGCCAAATATAGCGGTTATGCTAACAGTTAAGAAACTCCCTTATCACTATTGTTGCTAAGAGTAAAATCCCTGCCACCCAGCCTTATACCCCCAACTCCACAGTGTCTCAGGCAGAAGCTCCACCTCATATGCTACAGCACTAACCCCAATAGTGTTATTTCTTTCTAACCTTTATGTCTTTCATTTCTTCTTCTTTTAATATAGTAATTAGGACCTCATGTACACTGTTGGATAGAATCAGTGAAACTGGATATTCTTTTTTTTTTAATTTATTTTATTTTTATTGGAAAGTCAGAAAAGAAGGAGAAACAGAGAGGAAGATCTTCCGTCCATTGAGTCACTTCCCAACCAACCACAACGGCCAGAACTGCACGGAGCCAAAGCCAGGAGCTCGGAGCTTCTTCTCTGTCTCCCATGTGGGTGCAGGGTCCCAAGGCTTTGGGCCATCCTCAACTGCTTTCCCAGGCCACAAGCAGGGAGCTGGATGGGAAGTGGGGCTGCTAGGATGAGAAGCAGCACCCATATGGGATCCTGGTGTGTTCAAGGCGAGGACTTTGGCTGCGAGATAACTGCACTGGGCCGGAAATTGGATATTCTTGACTTACTGGATGTATGAGGCAAAATACCAAAAATGTCCTCAGCTAATAGATTTGCTGTTTGTCTCATGAACAAAGTCCTTATCAGAAAGATCCTTTCTATTGCTAATTTCCTGAAAAATTTTTATCAGACGCGTGACGGATTTTGTCAAACACGTTTCTAAAACCTGAAAAGTTGCCCACTTACGGCTATAGGCTGGCCTAGTTCCAGCGTTGCAGTCAGAACCAGCAGATGGAAGATCCCTTTCTTTCCTAACTCCACATTTCAAACATATAAATAAATATATAAATACACCTTTAAAAATAAACAGAACAGCATCACATGAGTATACAGCTCACCAACAGGACTCACTTTCCCAGAAAATTAATTAAAGTAATCACAGTACCTTTCGGGGTGAGACTGCTGGGTGCTACATTTCTAGTAAGACTTTTATGTTTGAATTTCTTCCTTTCTTCTTCCATTTGCTTCTTTTGGCATAATTTGTCTTGTTTCTGAATTTTTTTCTTCTCTTCAGCTTTTCCTCGATTTTCTTTCCAGGCTTCCAATTCTTCAGTTGCTTTTTTCCGTTCATTGTCTTTAATACTCTCTATTTTCTTCCTCTCTTCTTCTTCAATCTGTAAAAGTAATAATTAAGAAATACTTTAAGAGATCCAAAAAGCAGTATTCTTAACAAAGAAATTCGTGGGCCCGGCACGGTGGCGCAAGTGGTTAAGGTCCTTGCCTTGCACGCCCGGGATCCCATATGGGCGCCGGTTCTAATCCCGGCAGCCCCGCTTCCCATCCAGCTCCCTGCCTGTGGCCTGGGAAAGCAGTCGAGGACGGCCCAAAGCTTTCGGGACCCTTCACCCGCGTGGGAGACCCGGAAGAGACTCCTGGCTTCGGATCGGCATAGTATCGGCCCGTTGCGCTCACTTGGGGAGTGAATCATCGGACGGAAGATCTTCCTCTCTGTCTCTCCTCTCTGTATATCCGCCTTTCCAATGAAAAAAATAATAAAAATAAATCTTTAAGAAAAAAAAAAAGATTTACTTTTATTGGAAAGTCAGAGATACAGACTCTCTGTATCTCAGAGATACAGAGAGGAGGAGAGACAGAGAGGAAGATCTTCTATTTGCTAATTCACTGATGCCCACTCTGATTTAGCTCCAGTAATTGTAGTCATTAGAGGAGAAAGCCAGCAGGTAGATCTTTCTATCCTTCTCTCATTTGGGAGAAAGGACCAGTGCATAAAAGATATTTCTCCTTTTCCATCTCTCTCTGGCTCCCTGATTTGCTGCCTTTCAAATCAACAATAACAAAAATTTTTTTTTCAGAGCTACAATATGGTTCAGCTTTTCAAGATTTATTTATTTATTAAATGGAAAGATTTATTTATTTATTAAATGGAAAGACGTACAGAGAGGAGAGAGAGGAAGAGCTTCTGTTCGAGGATTCACTCCCCAAGTGGCCACATGGCCAGAACTGATCCAATCAGGAGCCAGGAGCTTCTTCCGGGTCTCGGGGGGGGGGGGCAGGGGGGATGGTGGGGGGGGGCAGGGTCCTAAGGCTTTAGGCCACCCTCTACTGCTTTCCCAGACCAAAAGCAGGGAGCTGGATGGGAAGCAGGGCTGCCGGGATAAGAACTGGTGCCTATATGGGATGCTGATACGTGCAAGGTGAGGACTTTAGCCACAGTGGGCCCTATGTAATTTCATACCTCATTGGTAAATTGTTATTAGAAAAAATAACAACAGGTATTATCAAGGATAATATTGGGTAAAGTTATAAAAAAAAAAGCCACTTTATATTACTGGGGATTAATGAAAACAATGCAAACACAGAAGAGTTTATTCTAGGGGGAAAAAAGTGCTTGCAACCAACCACCCATTTCTAGCTAGGATAATGACCTGGCTGGCACATTTACCACCATGAAGCTGGCTCAAAGAACCCAGCACTGTTGGTGGCAAAATGAGAGGACTCATTTCTGGGTGTGGTAAAGTGAAAAATCAACAGTTTTGGCGAGTTAAGAGTGGCAGTTTCAGTTGTAAACGAAAAGGGAAAATTTGCAGTTGAGCCTCATTCAGGATGAGTCTATAATGAGTCAGAATTTAAGTGAAAGATTATATAAGAGAGGGCCCGGCAGCATGGCCTAGCGGCTAAAGTCCTCGCCTTGAACACACCGGAATCCCATATGGGCACCGGTTCTAATCCCAGCAGCTCCACTTCCCATCCAGCTCCCTGCCTGTGGCCTGGAAAGCAGTCGAGGACGGTCCAAAGCCTTGGGACCCTGCACCCTTGTGGGAGATCCAGAGGAGGCTCCTGGCTTCAGACTGGCTGAGCTACAGCCATTGTGGCCACTGAGGGAGTGAATCAGCAAACGGAAGATCTTCCTCTCTGTCACCTCCTCTCTGTATGTCTGAATTTCCATTAAAAAAATGCAATAATTAAAAAAAAAAAAAAAAGAAATGGCCTCAATCAAGATGAATAAAATGCAGCTACATTAAGGCTACACTGTTTTTATTTTTATTTATTTATTTTTTTTCATTGGAAAGGCAGATATACAGAGAGGAGAGACAGAGAGGAAGATCTTCCGTCCGATGATTCACTCCCCAAGTGAGCGCAACGGGCCGATGCTATGCCGATCCGAAGCCAGGAGCCTCTTCCGGGTCTCCCACGCGGGTGCAGGGTCCCAAAGCTTTGGGCTGTCCTCGACTGCTTTCCCAGGCCACAGGCAGGGAGCTGGAAGGGAAGCGGGGCTGCCGGGATAGAACCGGCGCCCATATGGGATCCCGGGCGTGCAAGGCAAGGACCTTAACCACTGCGCCACTGCGCCGGGCCCCAACACACCAATCTTTTTTTTTTTTTTTTTTTACACACCAAGAATTCCAGCAGCAGACAAGGCCTCTAACCTCTAACCTGAGGGGTTTTAACATCCCATGCAGATTTGGGACAAACTTGGGATAAGACTCCCACAAATGCTGAGCAGCAACAACACAGCAAGCAGACACGCGGCAGACCTGTCTCAGGACTGCCATCTGGTGCTGACATAGCAGAAGTGCACACAGACCCGCCTGGAATTTCTGGCAGTCCTATTTATGAAGACTGGAGCAAACTGATACTCCTTCAACGCACAGCCGATGCCATATGTCCGCACGAATCAAGACATCTTCTGAAAAGAATCATGACCTCACCTACTGAACAAAATAAAGTTTTAAAAAGCAGTCAGCAACCAACATATGCAAATTGCCAGATGCAGAATTCAAATGACTGCTTTAAGGAAGTTTAATCAGATTGAGGGAAACTCAGAGAAATAAAATAATTACAGATTCTTTCAGTCACTTCTGTCAAAATGAGAATTAAAGATAAGAAACCACTTATATAAATCAGTCAGAAAAGTACTTAAAGAGAGAAAGTTAGGGGTCAACGTCATGGCATACTGGAGTTAAGTTGCCACTGGCATCCCTGGCATCTGATCTGGGTGCAAACTTGGGTGCCAGGTATTGACCTTCTGGTTCAGGTCTCTGCTAATGCCTTGGGAAAAACAGCAGAAGATAGTCCAACTGCTTGGGTCCATGCCTCCCATGTGGGAAACCCACACGAAGCTCCTGGTTCAGGCCTGGTTTAACCCAAATGGTTGAAGGCCACATGAAGAGTGAACCAGAGAATGGAAGATCTACGTATGTACGTGTGTGTGTGTGTGTGTGTGTGTGTGTGTGTGTGTGTGTGTGTGTGTGTGTGTGTATCTTTTTCTTTCTGTGTGTCCATCTGTCTGCTTCTCCATCTTTTTGTAATTCTTTCAAATTAGTAAGTAGGGCCTTGTGCGGTAGCCTAGTGGCTAAAGTCCTCACCTTGCACACACCAGGCTGCCGGTTCTAATCCCAGCAGTTCCACTTCTCATCCAGCTCCCTGCTTGTGGCCTGGGAAAGCAGTTGAGGACGGCCCAAAGCCTTGGGACCCTGCACCTGCGTGTGGGAGACCCGGAAGAAACTCCTGGCTCCTGGTTTCGGGTGGGCTAAGCTGCAGTCATTGTGGCCACTTGGAGAGTGAACCTGGAGATAGAAGATATTTCTGTTTCTCCTTCTCTCTGTAAATCTGACTTTCCAATAAAAATGAATAAATCCTTAAAAAAAATAAATAAGTAAAACTTTAAAAGACAAAGACAGAGAGGTAAGGTAGATGAGTAGTTTCCTAGAGCCAGGATTCTGAAAATTACTGCTAATGGGTATTGATTCTCTTTCTGAGGTGATAAAAAATATTCACAAATTGACTGTGATGATGCTGTATAATTCCAAATATATTAAAAACCACTAAATTCTATACTTCAAGAGGGTTAATTATGTGGCATAGGAATTCTGTGTCAAAAAACACACTGTTTAAATCTTTCTCTACTGACTAAAGGCTTTAATGGTTAAAAAAAAAAAGAGTACTTTTTCACTATTTTGGTTTAATCTATATTTTTTATAGAATTAATATTTATTTATTCTTATTGGAATGACAGATTTATATAGAGGAGAGACAGAGAAAGAATCTCCATGAGCTGGTCACTCTCTAGGTGGTTGCAACGGCTGGAGCTGAGCCAATCTGAAGCCAGGAGCCAGGAACCTCCTCCATGTCTCCCACACGGGTGCAGGGTCCCAAGGCTTTGGGCCATCCTCGACTGCTTTCCCAAGCCACAAGCAGGGAGCTGGAAAGGGAAATGCAGCAGCCACTATATGGACCCATATGGGATCCCGATGCATGCAATAGGCTACCACGCTGGGCCCACTATTAATTCTTCAGACTATGGCATCCTACAGCTTACCTTCATCATGACATCCAGGGCGTACTTTTGATCTTCTCGCCTTGCCACAGCTTTTGCTTCCACAGCTTCCTTTGCTCTCTCTTGTGCTTGTAAAATAGATTCTTCTCTTATCCTCTGCATCATCTCTTTGTCAACTGAAATGTAAGGAATATTGTCAAGTTAAGATTATGAAAAACTCGGGCCCGGCGCGGTGGCGCAAGTGGTTAAAGGTCCTCGCCTTGTACGCCCGGGATCCCATATGGGCGCCGGTTCTAATCCCGGCAGCCCCGCTTCCCTTCCAGCTCCCTGCCTGTGGCCTGGGAAAGCAGTCGAGGACGGCCCAAAGCTTTGGGAACCTGCACCCGCGTGGGAGACCCGGAAGAGGCTCCTGGCTTCGGATCGGCATAGCATCGGCCCGTTGCGCTCACTTGGGGAGTGAATCATCGGATGGAAGATCTTCCTCTCTGTCTCTCCTCTCTGTACATCTGCCTTTCCAATAACAAAATAATAAAAATAAAAATCTTTAAAAAAAAAGATTATGAAAAACTCATTTTGGGACATAACCGCTTAACATACTGATCCATTATGAGATTCTTTCAGACTCAATGTCACAAGAAGACACAGAAATATTTTTTAATAGCAGACTGGTCAAGAAGCTAACATTAGAAGGTAAGCAGTGAACTGTGGTAATAACGAATTGCCACAGAATGTGCTGTGAGGAAGAAGAAAAAGAAATGGGGAAGAGAAACCAGAGGAGGAGGAAATGAGAGGAAAGAAGGGAATAAGAGGGGAAGGAGACGGTGTATGGACAAGATCTTTATCATCCTCCTCTACACAGAAACTAGGCTTACTTGCTTTTAAACCTGATCACAATAAATAATCACTATGAAAAAAAAGGGGGTTTAAATCACTCTAAACGATCCACTGTCTTCACAAGTGTAGAGCAGTAAGTTATATACAGAGTGTAGGCTAGAAAAATTTTAAATTAACATGATGGGTCCAGCACGATGGCTCAACTGCCTACCCTTTTACAAGCGCTGGGATCCCATGTGCACGCTGGTTTGTGTCCCAGCTGCTCCACGTTTCCATCCAGCTTCCTCCTCACGGCTTAGGATAGCAGTGGAGGACAGCCCACGTTCTTGCCAGCCTACACTCATGTGGGAGACCCGGAAGAAGCAGCTCCTGGCTTCTGGCTTTAGATCGGCTCAGCTCTGACAGTTGTGGCCGCTTAGGGAGTGAACCAGCAGATAAAAGAGCTTCCTGTCTCTCCTCTCTGTAAATCTGCCTTTCCAATAAAGATAGAAACACATATTTAAGAAAAAAAATTACCATAACATGCCACACAAGGGTGCTTCAGAAACTTCATGGTTTTGGTAAAATAAAAAAATGGTTAAAAAGCCAAACGCAATTTTTTTTTTCTTTGAGGATTTATTTATTTGAAAGAGTTATGGAGCGAAAGAGAGAAACACAGACAGAGCTTCCATCAGCTGGTTCACTCCCTGAATGGCCAAAACAGCTGGGACCGGGCCAGGGCAAAGCTAGGAGCCAGAAGTTCTGGGTCTCCTGAGTGGGTGGGAGGGACCCAGGCACTTGGCCTACCTTCTGCGGCTTTTGCAGGGACATTAACAGTGAGCTGAATGAGACATGGACATGCTGGTACTTCAGCATGACCTGCAGGGCCAGCCCTAGCAGTTTCTCATAATAAACATTTTCCATTTTGAGGAGCCCTCCTATGCACAGATTTCAAAGCTTTTTGCATTAAAAAAAGGTTAGCTTATAATCACACCCTTCCTTAAACACTCTGCTTTCCTGGAAAGGCAGACTCAGTAGCAGACAGACATCTTCCATCTACTAGCTTGTTTGCCAAATGTCCACTCTCAGGAGCCTGGGATGCAATCCAGGTCCCCCAGGAGAGTGAAGGGGAGTCAAGCGTTTGAGCCTCCACCTGCTGCCTCCCAGGCCGTGCACTAGGAAGCTGGAATCATCAACAGAGCCAAGACTCCACCCTAGGCCTGCTAGGACAGTAGGCAGGCATTCCAAGCAGGGAGCTGGATGGGAAGTGGAGCAGTCGGGACAGGAACTCGTGTCTGTCTGTGATTCTGGCATATGCAAGACAAGGACCTTGGCCACTAGGCTACCGTGCCTGGCCCCTAATCTGGTTCCTTCCACAGAAAAAGTTGGTCAATCCTGATTAAAGTAGTCAAAACTCCAAATGATTAACCATATAGTCATGAACACGGAGTGTCTAGCGTTTTCCAGTGAGCACTAAGGTATGAAACAGGGAGACCATGATTTAAGAAAGAGAATTCTCTGCCCAGTGCTAGAGAAGGGAGGCCTCAGGGTAAGAGACTCTGCCAAGGAAGGAGCCATTTTGTGCTAGAAAATATGAAGAGTGTAACAGGTTTTCTGATAGAATCATTTATATCGATAAGATGATGACCAAACCATTTCCTGGAGAAACGTGTTGGCCAGCAGGGCCGACAGAGACACAGATGCAAACAGCAAAGTCAGCGATTCCCAAACTAGAACTCCACTGGTGTCACCTGGGGGGCTCTGGCCTCCAGCTCCCTCCCCTGCCCCTGCGCCTGCCTGCTTGCTTGCTTCTAAATAACACAGGAGAATAATGGTCACCCTAACTTCACATTAAGATGGTAAGAAAGAGTCTAAACCTATTGCGGTGTTTACGTTCGCTCGGGGCTGAGCAGTGAGAACTCTGACTGCTTTGAGTGCACAGGCAAGGCGAAGACTTTAGCCACTAGGCTATGGAACCAGGTCCATAAAACTCTTCCATTCTTAATTCAGTTTAAGGCCAGAGGCACGGGAGACTTTCCGGGAAGGAGAGACAACATGTTAAAAAAATTATATATGACAATTAGCAGAGGAAAGAACACAAAAAGCCGAAGCTGCAGGGGACCATCACTGACCCGCAAAGCCGACGTGGACAGCAGGACAGAGACCACGTTGCGCCCTCACCACAGGGATCTCCGCTCGGGCTGGGCACCACAGGCTCTGGAAGGCTGCTGAACAGGCTCTACCCCTCGGCTCCACCGCCAGCAAGTGAGCTGACGGGAACTGTGTCATTTTCAACCTTCACAGGTGACTCCAGTCAGTAACCAGGGTGGAGAAACGGTTCTCCAGAGGCACGTGACTTGAGCTTCACTTCCGGTGGGCAGTTACTAGCTGTGGATCCTCTGCCAATCACTCCGCTCCTCTGTGGGCCAACAGTAGCCTCACCCGTAAAAATAAAAATAACGCATAACACTATGTCCACGGACGGTTGCTCTAAAGATCAGAAGATATGGAAACGCCAAACACAGAGCGAGTTCTCAGGGATGGCCTCAGCAGACGGATTTGCCCCCTAACACACAAGCCTACTGTGCTCCAAGCCAGGGAGATTCAATCTTCACCCAGGCTTATTCAATTTAAGTATCAGCTGGAGCACTTTACCTCATTTAATCCACCTCCTATGCATAACTAAAGGACTTAAGAAAATGCCATTTTGGGGTCAGTGCTGTGCTTCAGGCCAGTTTGAGCCCTGGCCTCTACAGCTCCAATCCAGTTCCCTACTAACGTACCCGAGGAAGCAGTGGAAGATGCCCCAAGTGACTGAGTAACCCGGACGACGCTCCTGGCTTCCAACAGACCCAACACTGACCTTGGCAGTCACTTGGGAGTGAACCACCGGGTGGGAGGATCTCTCCGTAACTCTGCCTTTCCGATAAATCAGTCTTACACAAAGAAGAAGAAATGCCGCTGGAAAGCACGCTGATTGAAATACTGTTTTGAGTTTAAGGCACTTCAAACAACAACAAAGGAATGGCTTTCTTATCTGCCCAAAAAGAGACTCAAGTATCACGGACACCCCTCCTCTGGCGTTTCACCAACCTAGGAATACTGGTGCTACCACGAGGCAAGACTAGAACAGCCCACAGTGTCTCCACCTCCACCAGGTGGCCCCTTTCCTCGTCCTAAGCCAGCGCATCCCCTCCCTACTAAAAGGATCTATGGCTTCGGGGAGTACTCACCCTTTTTGTCCTGTGAAGTCTTCAAGCACATAATATTAAGAATTCAACAATCTTTTTGCTCGTGAATCTACACAGGTCGGCTTTATTTCACAGTCTCTGCTACGGATCCCAGGAGCGAAGTCTCTTCCACACACACACACACACACACACACACACGCAGAGAATTTTTCAAAAGCTCTAAAGCTGAACTGGCACAACTGGACCCATGAGCGTCTTCAGCACAGCACTTACCACCCGGCAAGCAGAGGGTCTCCCACAGGACGGCTTTTTTTTTGTACAAGGTGAAGACCACGGCGTCATTTCCAATCTTGGCTTTGCTGCTGGCATCGTCTATGGGCGCATAGAGAAACGCCTCGAACAGAAACGGAGGAAAGTTGACCTGTTCGGAAGCGGGTGGGCGAACAGAAGTTAAGTCACACACGTTACAGACACTGCCATGAAGAAATAATGACTGAATAATTTGTCTTGTTCAAGACATGCACTGGGTCACGAGGCGTAAGACGGAGCCCTGAGTAAAACTAACGCCCGAAATGACGACATCTGTCTACAGGTGAGACTCGTTTTTAAGGACAGGCTTACAACTTTTACAGAAGCCTGGGACCGACCCCTGCCCCTCCCCCCACAGGACGCGGCCGGCCCGACTCGCGCTCCCACCTTCAGGTAGTTTTCTGTGCAGAACACGTCCGCATCTCTGACGCAGACACCTCGAAGCGGCAGAGAGAGAAAGACAGCAGTCTCCGTCTGCTGCCAGCTGTAATTGCTAACCTGCAGAGGCATCCCTGGATGGTCCTGAGCCGAAGGCGCTGCGGACAGCGGCTCTAACCCGCCCCGTTGCTAGGGAAGCTGCGGTTACCAGGCGCTAGCTCTTCCGGGTCAAGCCGAGAAGAGGTGCCCCGCAATCCCAGCATGCCCCCCGCGCGCCGGAAACTATCGGCTTCCTACAGGGGTACCTGCATGTGGGCATTGAGCAGTACAGAAGCAACAGGGAGGGGAACCTTTCCTTTCACTGTGCAGGCAACCGTTCGGGGAGGTAGGCCCACCTCTTCTTAAGAGCTTTAAGTCTGAGTATGGGAAGAGATGTGGGCTTGCCTTGTAGGGAAGAACAGCCTGCGAGGCGCCTCGGTGACGTCCATGCACCTTTGTTATCAGGAACTAATTTTGTTAATGAATTTTATTTTTTATAATGATTACATGGTGGATCAGGGTGAGAAGGATCGAAGTTTAGGGGAAATTGGGTGAACCCATTGCTTCCAAATTCGCTATTTCTTCTTGTTTCTGGGAGGAAGGGGAAAGACTAAAGGGTAAACCACTCACTGCTTTCCACACTGAGATCAGAACAACAGTTATTAAGAATGAGCACCGTTTCCTGTTCAGGAAATGCCCTGGTGCTTCTCTGTTACAGTCTAAAAATCTGGTCCACTGGTTGGCTACCAAAAACGCATACGTGGGCTTTGCTGCAAGGTTTCAGAAACGGTGAGGACAGACTCAGGGACTCGCTTTGCAAATGCAAGGATGAGTTGGATCTACGCTGAATCACCTTAAGGTGACATGTGTAGATTTCTGAACTTTTGCACCGCCAACATGTTTAAGGAACCTGCGACCCCTGCTCTTAAACCCATAATCATGTTAGTGATTGAGCCATGATTTTAAAATCCAAAAAAAAAAAAAAAAGACTGAATTGGAAATGAAGACTTACCAAGAAACAGAGATCTTCCATTTGCTGGTTCACTCCAATTGGTCACAACAGCTGAGGCTGAGCTGATAAGGAGTCAGTAGCCTCCTCCGGGTCTCCCATGCAGGTGCGAGGTTCCAAGACTTTAGGCCATCCTCCACTGCTTTCCCAGGCAGTTAAGCGGGAGTTGGCTGGGAAGTTGAGCATCTGGGACACGAACCAGTGCCCATATGGGATGCCAGTGCTGCAAAGGTGGAGGGTTAGCCAGTTGGGCTATCACAGCAGCCAAAAATTTTCATTTCTTAATGGCCATTCTAATGTAGTTTCCCCCAAGGCTGCTTTCTGTAGACAGGTTTCAAATTACTGGAATATGACACTGATATATGGAGCTCTATAATTAAGTACTTACAAGATGCTTAACACCAAGGAATTTGTATACTTATTTTGCAGACTGTTCACCCAGATTCCAAATCTCATGAATAATTCTTTGAGGGACATTTGTGAGCAGAACGTGGGGAAAGGAGCTGGAAATATTTCTGCCGGCAATTCTGTCAGCTGCTCATTATCTGAAAGATCTATTAACTTGGAATGCTGTAGTCATCTTAAGACACCTTTTCCCGGATGTCCCTGTGGTCCACCAAGTTAAGCCTCCTTCTGTAACATCCCATGAGGGCACCAGTTGGTTTCCCACCTCTTCTGCTTCCTGCTAATGCACCTAAAAAAGCAACAGAAAATAATCCAAGCCACGCATCTGGGAGACTTCAAGAAGCTCCTGGCTCCTACCTATTAGCAATCACTTTGCTAATAAGTCTGCAGTTGTTCTGAGAGCCATAATCTTAACTAAACGTTCATGCTCTCTACCATAACAAAAACTTAATTTTTTTTTTTACTGTTCTATCAGTTGATAGTAATTTTAAACCACTTTTTCCCTGTTTCAAAACTTTAGTACTTACTTAAACAGTTTTACAAGTTTTGAAAGCAACGAGAAAAGATTTTAAATTATTAGACGTAAAAAAAAGAAACTCCTCATGAACAGCAATCTAATATGGCAAAGGGAGCTCTGCAGCCAGGTGGGGAAATGCAGAGGAAGGAATGCGTGTTACAAGCACGAGTGCTGAAGAAATGGTTGCCTCACCGGGAGAGGCAGCAAATGAGACTGGATCTGTGTACTCATTTAGGGTCACACACAAAAATGAATTTCAGATGAATTAAATATAAAAGAATCTGAAACTTTAAAAGTGACAATACCTATATGATTTTGGAATAAGAAGGGACATAGGACATTAAGAAGTACTAACCACGGAGGAGAAAAAAATGAAATAAAAATTAAGAACTGTTGTGCATCAAAAAGCATAGCAATAAATGTCAACATAACTGAATCGTGCATACATTAGCACTGCCCTTCAGCCAAAGACAACAGATGTCTGTAATATGACAAATTCATCACTCAATGAGTAATACAGACCACAAGGTGTCCCAGTAAAAGGGTGTCTGAATTTGAGGGGTAGTTTAAGGACAGGTTCCCTCTAGGTTAAGCTGGAAATGGGAGGAGAAATGTGACTCAAACCCAGCAGTTCTTATATGGGATGCTGTTATAACTGGTGCTGTTAAGATACCTGCCCCATGCTTACAGTTTAGGGAAACTCAGAATTCAGTGTTATAAGCTCAACAGAACAAATATACACAAGTTTTTATTGCGCCCTGACCAAAAATATTGGTTCTCTCAATCTAGATTTCTTGCAGATTGTAGGCTGTCTTCTTTAATCTTGTTAGCCACCTTGCACCCATAACCTTGTCCTGATGAAAGTCAAACACTTTTTTAAAAGTTTTTCTCTTTAAAAACTAGCTTTATTTAAAAGAATTTTAGGCATAGTAACACTATAGGAAAGAGACATACAATACATATGACTCAAGAAAGCCTGCAATACAGTACTTCTACTAATAGTGACTGTAGACTAAGTGCTGTACAGTGACACTCCTTGTTCGACGCACAGATGCCATCTGCATTCTCCCTGAAAAGAACGGTCAACCACACGGACTGTCTTGACACCAGAAATCTCTATTTGTCCTTATTACCCATCCACAGAATCAAAAACTAAAATGTGGAAGACAAATCCCTCCAATTCTAAATTCTAGCATTGTGTTTAGGGAAGAAGGATCTGGGGTCAGAAAGGGAAAATTTTAAGAGTTAAATATCTCAAGAATTGGCTTCTTATATATAGTAATTTTTATAAAGTAATTCAGAACTGAGAATGTAATCTATATAATTGGAAGCCATTAAACAAACTATTTATTGCTTACTGCATTCAATCAGTTATTGTGCCAATTTTTTTGTTTTTGTAACCTTTATGTTAGCCATACAAAGAAAATAAACAATTTGGAATGATCTAGTATCTAATTTCATAATTTATTAAAAAATTTCCACAAAGCAATTCATGAATCATTTAATACTAATACTTCTTTAAATCTCTGTGATTTAAATAGAAATGTACCCAGTTCTAAAACATTACTATGTGAAAGTATCAGACAAATAATAAACCCCTAACATGTAATACTAAGTTTTACATACAAAAAACAGACCTATGAAAATATTGGGCATTCAAGTCAATTATATTAGGATTATAACACAGTATGGTCTCTGGCATTTCAAAAAAATTAAAATTGAATAATATTTATTGCTATATCAATCCTATCCAGAGTGAACAAAGTACAAAATATACCACACAACCCTGGCAAATGTGATGCATTACAGAAATCATTAACATAACACAGAAAGCCACTTAGTCTGCATGTAGTCGCTGATATTAAAACCTTGTTAATTCAAGACAGAATTGATGAATCTAAAGATCTGAATATTTTAAAAGATGTAATTTCAAATATATAAATCTGCATTGTTACAATTATTTCAGATACTTATTTCAATGACAAAGTAAGAATCCTCAACTGATACTCTTAGTGGATTCCTCCAAGACAAAAAGCTTAAAATTTTATCTTTAAGCTCAAACATTTTTCTTTAAAATCTTGATCATGACTTTTAAAATTATTTTATCAGAGTACAAAGTCAACAGCTTTTAAGTCCTTGTATGAACTTAACATATTCTAAGTAAAATACAGTAGCTTAATGGCATCTTAATTAAGACCATTATTTATTTTTGTGATGGTGGAAGAATGATACTTGTGGTGGGGAACTATCAGCATAAATTGAAATACTATCATATAACTTGAATAATGTGGTCCAAAAAAAGCCTTAAGATACACTGTCATTTAATTATTCAGTACATTATACATGTAGGTGAAAGATCAAATGTTGAAGTATTTACTGTATTATCAGTGTCATGAATTGCTAACACCAAATTTTACCCCTCTCTCTAACATCTCAAAGACATCAGACCATCTAGTAATCCATAAATATTGATGTTTCATATACTACATAGAGTAGCTTAAAACATACCATTGTAAGAAATAATATTACATAGTAATTTCACTTGTCATAGGAATAAATGTTGGACAACGTCTGGAAACATTTTATTTTCCAATTTGAATTACAGTAATTTTGTCACAGACCACAGCACTAGTGCATGTATTACTCTAGACATGCTCTAAGAACAAAACAAAAAATTACTGCAAAAATACATGTCACCAATGTGGAACACACTCCAATTTGTATAAAAGTACTGAACTAATATCCCAAAAAGAGGTATATGTAAACAGTACATAAGGAAGAAATAGTTTTAATATGAAACAATCATTTAAGTCACATACATCATGGTAAGAAGCAGGACTTTCTTTTATAAAAGATAATATTTTAACTAACAAGCAACATCATCTACACATCTACAGAACAAGAAAAGGTACAGGTATTTATCATAACTTTTAATATAATTCCAAGTAATGTATTTCTGATAAAATATGACAAAGACGAAGCTTATCCATTAGGTTTCATCAGAGATTTAAATTAAATACAGGCAAGCTCTAATGCTTTAACGCTTGGAATACACACAGCCACTTTCTTACTTTCATTTCCCCTCGGTCTCTTATCTTAGGAGATGTTAATGCTATTTGCAGTCCTCTTACTCCGTGGGTGTATCCAATTCTCCACTCTTACACCACAGGAGTTGGGAGACGTGGATATGACTTATATACTTTTCCACTGGATAAACAGGAAAGGTGACATTACTAAAATTTGGAAATAAAAAGAAAACTCGAGTTTGAGAAGCTATGAGAAGTCACAACAACCTAAAGGAAACAGAAGTATTTTTAAGATAGAATCAACTAACTTGCTAAAAATACTTTACTTCCTGTGGTGCCTGAAATATGCTCATATTGTCTTTCATATAAGAAATTAAAAGACTCATTCTGAATAAATTCCTTAAGAAATTTAATGCCACTTTCTCCACTATCTTCATACCATAGTGTAGAATGCTTCCCTCATAAAATTCAATTAACCACACAAAGAAACCGTATGTCTGATCAAAGAGGAAAGACAGGAAATGAGGCACGTAGTCTCCAGAAGTGGAAAAGGCCACGGCATTGCTACAGGGTTTAGGATGGTAAGAGGACACTGGAAAACAACCCATACCAAAGAACTTCACCTTCTGATCACATCACTAATAAGGAAAGACCTCTGCTTCTTTCTTTTATATTTGATTAGTTCCCTAAAGAAAATGGAGACCTCAATATGAGCCTAATATCTAACTACATTGATGGCTTAAGTAAGTCTTTATGAACTTCCCTAAGAATCTAATCATTTTATCTAGAGTTCTAAGTCATTATTTACAAATGAACTTTGGAATTCTGGACGCTTTTAAGCTTTTTTTTTTAATAAAAAATTAAAATAGCACAGATGTTCATGCATATGAAACGTCTATTCACTGCAAAAAAAAATCCAAAACACTTCAGTACACTCTTTAAAAAATCATTGTTTATCTATTTTCTTACTATTAAATACTATAGTATGTTTGATAATAAGTACTAACACTCTTAATTTGTTCAAGGTAAAACAGATTGAAAGAATGTGAGATGAAGACTCTTGACACTGTGATTAAAGTCAACAGATACCACATTGACCCATACTATTAGGTTTATTTTTGCCACTAGGCAAAGTTGGGAGTTTTTAAAAATCCACAAAAAACATGGATCTTATATTCTTCAGTACAAGAAAATCTTCAGCTTTATGTATGTAAACTTTCTAATTTGGATAATAAGATTTATAATAGCAGTACTCCACAATATTTCATGCAGAGGAAAACAATGAGCACAAATCTAATTCTAAGCACTCAATGTGATGAACAATAGATCTTGAATAATAGGCTAGGCTGTTTTAGTATCTGTGAGTTCAGCAACATCTAGAACCATGTGGGGTAGGAGCTCTCTAATGAATGAGCAAATCAAGGTCTGAGAAAGGAAGGGACGCTTTAAAGCTTGCTGTCAGCAACCCAGTCTGATGAGTGAGCCCAGATGCCGACAGTTTGTCAGGATGATCTTCAGCAAAACTCCAGTATCTATTATTCTGTTACATGTGTGCCTGGGAGACAAGCCCATCAGGGAAGGAAGAGGATTTTACACTAAGAGATAGACATGTGTGCCTTTCCATCACTGTGTATTTCTGAAGTTGAGGACATCTCATCTCTTGTCGTTAATCTGTACCATAGCCTTCTTTGTTTGGATCAAATTGGACAGACTATCATTTGGCCATCTTGGAGTTCATCCCTGTACTTAAGCATTAACAAAACTTCTGACAGTGTTATGTGGAGACAAATATGTAACCTAGATGAAAATTAATTCAAACACACAAAAACATTAATCAGCTATGATTATAGTTTGGCTGATTTCACTGTCAGAATCAACCACAAACTGTTCCTTTGAATATTTATATATTCTTATTTGAGTAGGGTGTTTTGAAGACCTAAACACTTGAATAAAAATTTACCTGTTTGCACGTTTTAAAAAACTACTATTCAGAAATTTAAAAAATCAATGAATCACATCAGAAATCAAGTATCTTTAGATTAGCTTCGGGGAGGAGGTTGTTTCATTTTCACAAAAACAGCTAACTGCTGAAACTACAGTCAATAAGGACTTAAGAAGCTGTATAATCAGTTTGATCAAAGAGCACAATCCAAGTACTACCATGGAACTCCTCAGAACCCTAGAAGGTTCTACTCAGAAAACCTATCTGACTTTATCCAGAATTACAAGGAATCGTGATCCGATGCTAAGACTGGGCATACAGCATGCAATACATCATTTCCTAAAAATCAGTGTGTTTTTAAGGAAGAACAGAACAAGGTCATTTGAGATTCAGAAAATTATGTATTTCTAACAAAAAAACTTACAAAGTAAGCAAAACAGAATCTTCAAGTGTACACCAAACACCACCAAATTGATAAAGTTACCACAAAAAGGAGAAGCTAGTATTGGATGGCTGTGACAAAAATCTCACAGCCCGTGTCAATTAACTTCACTTTAGTGTCTTATGACATGGGAGGTCAGGTCCTGTCCTGTGTACATCTGTGGGTTCATGTTTAGCCAAAGGACATAGCTTTTCAATCATATCTTCTTTCTCATGCACAATTTTTCTCAAAAATATACTGCTGCCATCATTGTTTTACTCGGATTTAAATAGTCTTAATTATGCCTTTTGCAGGTTATCATGCAGTCTTCAGAAGTTTTCTGGTCACAATGAAAACGATGGTACATTTTAGGAAGCTTTACTAAAAGTGCTAGCAACTGTAATTCTGTGGGGAGCGGCGGGAGCAGTCACAGGCTGTGACCTGCCCCACAGTGCCTTTCTGTTGCTCTGAAATTTAATGGGCGTGCCTCCAATTGTCCCATTCTTTACATCTCTTTAGTGGGTCCTCTTGGGCCCCTTTTTACACTGAGAACCAACTCCTCAATCTGCGGAAAGGCCCCAAATTGTTACTTGAGTCAGCTTTCATTTTGGTTTTTAATTCATCTTTGTTTAAAATGCATTTTGATCTTCCCTGAGGTTTACTTTTGAAATTTCAGATCTCATTTTTCTTTTTTCAAACCATCACTGAGATATTCTCTTGCTGACAGAGCCCTCTAAGGCAAAAACTGCTATTTCTACCATCTTCATTCACAATCTGTCCCAGTTTAATAAAATCTTATTTGGAAAAAGATGTAATGCTTCTCAAGATTCTAGCTTATTTAGTTCCCTGTAAAACAATAAGCAACGTAACAATAATCAAAGAACATTAAGAGTATAAACACTAACATAGCTCTAAATAGCACAAGTGGAAACACACTATGTCAACCTTACTAACTGCACTCAATTTCCAACTGATCCAACATTAGCAATTGCATGTGCTGCAATCCAGTTTATCAACAAATACTGAGAATCCGACATATGCTAAGATTTATCTTGTATCTGTACAAAAACAGAGTTAATTTCAAAGACTCCATTGGAGGAAGAATTTGGTATCATACTTTTTTAAAATAAATTAAATGGCATGTTTTTCTCCATGTTATCACAACATATATTATTTTCTGAAAATGTTAAATGGATCCTTGAAAAACTCCTTGAATCAAATGTTTAATGTGTATAGCTGAGTTCAGCACTATACATTTTTCAAGATTCTAACTCTTAAAAGCTAAAAATCGCCTGCATTTGTTAATATATTATTTTGAAGCTCCAAAAGGCTTTTTTGTTTATGATAAATAACAACTAACATTTATTCTTAATGTTTCTAAAGCGCCCCCATATACATTATTCTCATTTAAGACAACAAACACAATACAAAATTTCTACTTGAATTAAGTGAACTACTAATAAAAACTGAAAGTAAATAACTTTCTTGCATGTGCATTTTAAAAAAATAATGTAAACCATTTCACAGCCTGCGTCACTGAATCTCTGTGATACACGGGTGGGGGAGCACTTTACTTAATGCCTGTGACTAAGCATCACTGCCCACTGTGGGTGGACCAAAAGTTTCTCTGGTGCGCATTAACTGGACATCCTTGTCAGCCATACAGGTATCACAGCCCCACACTGCTGATGCTTCTGCAGTTAGGAGGCCATAAGCAGTTTCAGTCATTCCAGTACAGATCCGATGAAACCACTTCTGACAAGAGGCCTCACATAAGATGGCATCCTGATCATCATTCACTTCATTTGTACAAATTCCACAAGGATACACGGGGTCGGAAGACGAATGGCCATGACGGCTTGGATGGATAGACTTACTGCTTTTTTCTGTGGTGCACGTGTCTGCTGCACCTCTGGGTTGTCGTGGCTTATTCTGTGTCCCATTTGCATGGCTGTTGTTCGTAGCTTCAGTGCTACTCGAACGGCTGTTTTCTTGATTTACCGGATTGTTTCGATTAACATTTTTTAATTCAATGTTACTCTGATTCACTGTGTCATCCGTATTTAAATGAGGTGGATGAGCAGAGGAATTTTGATTTGCATTTTTGGTAGTTCCTTGACTAAAGTCTTGTTTTGGGGGAGGTGCTTTTGCTTGACCAAAGGTATTTGGGGGAGGAATAAAAGAATGGTTAGATTCTATGGGAGAAGAAAAATTTGAATTATTCCCAGGGACAAAATTAGATGCTAAATCAGGATTAGGTACTTGGCTAACATTCTGTGGCGGAATCTGACTGAAGTTTTCAGCAGGGTTTTGCCTAAAATGTTGATTAGGCATGTTAACATTCTGACTTAGTACATTATTATAAGAAGGATTTCCAAAACTTGAGTTATCATGTGGCCCAAAGTTAAAAGCATGAGGTCGATTAAAACCCATGCCCAATGGATTCTGAGGAAATGGATGTGGCTGATTCCTGAGTGAGTAAGGACCACAGTATGGGGAGGACATTCTTGGGGGTACGTGAGGTGGCATTCTGAATGTGCTATAGCCCCCAAAGCCAGGATAACCAGGGCCAAGGTAAGGATTTGATGAAGGTAGTGGTTTATAGGAAATGGTATTATAGTTGTCGTCAAATGGATTAGCAGCCACTAGATGGTCAGAGTTTGGATTCGGTGGTGGAGCATATTCAGACAATGGAGGAAAAGAAGGTCCCTGGAATGAGAATGTAAAGTCAAATACAGGTTTTTCATTAAAGAAGTGATTTAAAAATCCCCTGTTATCCTAATACCCAAGAATCTGGTTTTACTCACATTCCTCTCATAGTGTTAGAAAATTTAATTTCTCTATTTTTTAATTATAATGAATGATTACATTTAATTATACCAGATTAAAAAAATGTACAAGTTTTCTTCATTTAGAAAAGGAGATAAAATATAATTTTAAGAGATCAATTCCATTGTTACCACAAACCCCAAAGTATTTAACTTTCAAAAGCAGATTCACTATCATCATTTTCATTTAATGTGCTTACCTGTAACTCTACTCTGATTTCAAATACTAAAGCATTTTACCAAAACACCTGTCATATGCCCAAATAGTCTAAATTTTTTTCCTAGTACAATATTTTGGAGACACTGTTAAATTATCCTTAAAACACTAAGTTCTAGGACTACAAACTGGAAAGTCAACTGCAGTTTTAGTCAATTGCAAAGTTTTAATAGTGGTCTAAAGGAGGGGGGGGAATAATCTGCATGTGAAAATACTTACCTGAAACCTTATTAAAAACAGAGTACCTCATAAATATATACAATAAGACCGTTTAAGCCTATATATATATATATATATAATTTTTTATTCCTATCACAGGTTATAGTAGTAAAGGATCCATATGATTGCTTTATGAAATGCACATCAAATTGATTAATAGCTGAATGTCACTTCAGGTTAAAATTGTTCCATGTATTTTAAGGTATTTTAGTAAAATGACATGAATTTATGCCTTCTAAAAACCTTTAAGCTTTTTTACACATATTTTTATTTTGAATTTTGAATTGTGTGGTACAATTTCTTATAGGCTGGGATTCCCCCCTAATTCCCACCCCCAACAGATTACCTTTAAGTTTTTGAATTGACATTTTAATTTGTCTGCCCATACGTTTTCCTGCAATAATTTACAACAGTAGTTCCTAAAATATAATCAATCTATAATTCACTATCTGTTTTTTAAATGAAGCCAGGAAACAAAATCCATGACCAAATTACCTAATGTACCTAATACTACCAACAAACAAATCTTTAAGAAAATGTCAACTTACTTGTGCGTTTGCCTTGCGTTTTTTCTTATCTGGGCTTCCTAGCTGTACACCTGGTCCTCCTAACCCATCCAGTCCACTATCACCACCTAAAAAACAAACAAACAAAAAAGATATTTGCACCTGTAACTGTGATCATCTTAAGTCTCTTATAGCAATAGCTATTATATTTACCCATTTATGGACTATCTATTTTTATTAAATAAAAGCAATGCTACGCTTTTCTGTTGTACTTTAAAGTCTCTTCCGGTTTCAGCCAAAACAAATCATGTCTCTGTGCTTTTATGTTTATTATTCTTTTAATTTTTAAAATTTTTTAAAAAATATTGTTTACATGTTTGAAAGAGGGCATGCCCTTGTGAGTCTCTGATTAGGGTAGAGAGGGTCAGTTATGAAAGAAGGTCAGTGGAACAAATGTTTGTTTTTTTTTCCCTCCTGTGTTCACAGAGGGGTGGACACTCCTTACTGTTAAACCGTATGAGCACCTGGGGATGGAGGATGGGGGATGGCCATTTGATGACACTTTAGAGACCCCAATATAGAGAAGGGAGTTCTGAGGGTGTTACTTGAATGGTTTTGATAGTTCTGAGACATTGTTGGTTTCATTGCTCTAGGACTAAGAAAATCTTTCCAAGGTCTATTGGTTAATAAAGCCCACTTTGGTGCACCCAGAGACCCAGGCACTTGCTGCAAAGCTTGGCCAGGAGGGTTGTCCAACCTGTTCTGTTTTCCATTTTTTGATGAGGTAGTCAATGTCCCCATCCCCTGTTGGCCGAGATGAGCTAGCAGTCATGTCCCCTGTATGCATCTTGGCACGCTGTCCACTGCACAGGCATCAGCAACTGAGGAGGCCCAGTCCTGATACATGCACTCCAAGGTCGACCATACATCCTGTGATTATTCCCTGTAGCTGGGGTCTCAGTCCAGCAGGTCCAGCTGGGGAGTCCCCCAAGAAACCTTGCTTGGGTTGATCTTATACTTAACTTGTGTTCACCAGCTAGTGCAGAATCAGGTTCGTTCCATCACCTACATCAGCCAACACATACAGCTGTGGATGCAGCTGCCTGGTAAGTTCTTCTCCAGCTCCACATCTCACGTGAACCAATGAATGCTGCAGTGCAGCCCAGGCCAGCCCAGCCCCAGACCAGGTCTTCACACATACCACTGGGTACTGTGGCCTAGTGGGGTCGACCCACATTAACTCCCACTAACCCCCAACAGGTGCACCCCAAGCCCCAGTTTGCATGCCAGCCTCTGCTGTGGCCTATTCTGGTTGAGCCTACATTCCATCCAGTTCCCAAGCATACCATGTGTACAGCAGCTTAGCTCAGCCTGACCTGTCCCCAGAACCTGCCCTCACATATGCCAATAGGTACTGCTACTTTGTCCAGCCTGGCCTGCCTCCAGCCCTGGTCCTCATGCTCACCAGCAGGAGGCACAGCCTAGCAGGAGGAGTTATATTTATTATTATTTCAGGGAAAAAGGGAAATAAATGGCCTACACTCCCTTGACATTAAAGTCAACTTCTTTACTCCCTCTACAGCCATTACTATTAGTTTCTAATCTAGCTTTTCAGGAAAAATCTAGATAAACTTATAGTCTAAACTCAGAGTTAAGTATCTGCATAATGTATTTTTAGGGGACACAAATGAGAGCATAATAAAAATTAGTTTGTACTTTGCCTTTTACTTGAAGATCATATCACTACACATAAATTTGCTTTATTCTTTAATAACTATTATTCTCTAATTACAATTGACAAAACTAGTTACTGCTCCTTATTTATGGGTGTTTGGGTTATTTCCAAATTCTTATTGTTACTACAAATGAAAAATATATGTATAAGTATCTTTATATACATGTAAAAGTATTCCTAGAACTAAATGGGATGCTGGAGTTGCAGGCAGCAGCTTAGCTCACTATGCCACAATGCTGGCCTAAACTTTTTTTTTTCACAAGATTTATTTATTTGAGAGTTACAGAGAGGGAGAGACACAGAAAGGAAGATATTCTATCTGCTGGTTCACTTCTCATGGTCAAAGCTATTTTAATTCTGTTCCATACTTTTTATGTATTCAGTAATTATGTTGCTCTATTAAAAGCTAACTTCTTTATTTGAAAGTCAGTGACTGGGACAGGCAGAGAAATCTTCCATCTGCTGGTCCACAATGCCTGCAAATTCCCAGGGTTAGGCCAGGCCAGTGCCAGGACTCTAGAGCTCTATCTGGGTCTCCCGTATGAGTAGTAAGGACCCAAGAACTTGAGCCAATATCTGCTACCAGTAGAAAGCTGGATTAGAAACTAGAGTTTCTAACCTATACTAAAACCAAGGCACTCTGATATGGAATGCAGGCGTCTCAAGCGGTCTTAACCGAACACGCATTTCAATGATTTGTTTTAATCTTAACTTGCTTCCTTAGATTTCGAATTACCTTTCATCTCATTTAACTGTATTAGCTTGTCTATGTGTTCCAAAATACATATTCCTATTAAATTCTGTCAGCTGAAGCATAGGTAAGAATATTAGGGGTCTTTGGCCTTCTGCATGCTGTTTTATTCCTTTTTTTAGTGAATCCATTTACTTTGCTTTAATATGCTTGCACAGTCATCAGTGTTTTATCTTTCCTGTGCTTGCATAGCTCTGCCTAGACCTTTTATTTGTCACATGGGTGACATTTTTAACTCTTATCTCCTCACGTTTCACATTTTTTTCCCCTAGGTTAAGGTGGTAAGATCCATCTATTGAGAAAATGATGTGACTTTATTAAATGTTAAATTCATACTAAAAAGATTTATTTATTTTTACTGGAAAGGCATATTTACATAGAGAGAAGGGGAGACAGAAGATCTTCTACCTGCTCATTCCCAAATGGCCTCAATGGTCAGAGGTGAGCCAATTTGAAGCTAGGAGCCAAGAGCCTCTTCTATGCCTCCCATACGTGTGCAGGGTCCCAAGGACTTGGCCATTACCTTGCTGCTTTCCTAAGCTATAAGCAGACGTCTAAAAGGGAAATGGAGCTGCCAGGACTCAAACCGGCTCCCACATGAGAGGTCAGTGCTTAAATGTGGAGGGCTAGCCTGTTGAGTCACTGTGCTGGCCCCACAATTTTTTTTTAATTATTAGTTATTTTTATTTCTGATGATTTTTACCTAGTTGATTAGAGTGATTAAGGTCAAGGGCTACAGGAAAGTGGGTGAGATCACCATTTCCATATTTTCTTTCCCCCCGCACCCCGTAACCCACAACTTACTTATTTTTTTTTTTTAAGATTTATTTTTATTATTTTTTTATTGGAAAGGCGGATGTACAGAGAGGAGAGACAGAGAGGAAGATCTTCCGTCCGATGATGATTCACTAGTGAGCGCAACAGGCCGATACTATGCCAATCTGAAGCCAGGAGCCTCTTCCCAGGTCTCCCACGCGGGTGCAGGTTCCCAAAGCTTTGGGCCGTCCTCGACTGCTTTCCCAGGCCACAGGCAGGGAGCTGGAAGGGAAGCGGGGCTGCCGGGATTAGAACCGGCGTCCATATGGGATCCTGGGGCGTGCAAGGTGAGGACCTTTAACCACTTGCGCCACCGTGCCGGGCCCAACTTACTTATTTTTGAATGAATCGTTACTTATGCTAGTGAGTGAGACCAACCTCTTAGGTTTTCTTTAACATATCCAGGCCTTCAAGTCCAAGTTTTGTACTTGTACCTAGATGGGATGTGTAGTAACACATTCCCATGATGGGATTTTCCTTGTCCCCTGACTCAATATGTATCCTTGAATCCTTTGGCTCCTGTGTTTCAAGAACTTTTGGGGGGGGGGCAATGTTTACACAGTTGATCAGGGTGGGAAGGGGAAGGTGGGTGAGACCATTGTTTCCAAATTTTCTTTTTCTTCTTCCTGTATCTGGGGGAAGCCACACCCCGTCTCCCAACCCTTCAGTACCTGGGGCTGGGGAACGGCCACCCAATGAAAGGCATTTTTAACCTTTTCTACTTCACTCTTTTTTTTTTTTTCCTATTAAAGGAGTAAGAATACCACTCATTTAACTTGTTCATCTCCAGGACTGAGTTGGTTATTGAGAACTGTCAGCGTTCTGTACATCAGCCCTCAATTTCCGAGGGGTGGAGCTGTTCTAACAGCCCACGTTACACACATCACACTATCCAGACTGCTGTTAGTGCGCTGTGTCTTTTCCCTTGTTTATTTTTCCATTATTCTCTTTCATTTTCAGAATTTTAAAAGATTTTATGAAGTAGATTTGCTCCATCATTTTTAGAAGTATTATATCAGTGTTGTTTTACTTAATATAATAAATTTATGATGTAGGTCAGTCACTCCCACTTCAAAAAAAAAAAAAAAGATAAAGGAGTCGCCCCACTGGCCAAGCAGCACAGTGAAAACCTAACACTAAGTATACAGTTCAGTTCAGAGACCTTTATTATTTTCACTCTGTAATTGCAGAACACGCCGTTACCCAGGACCCTGGCACACACCAATCAACTTCTGTGTAAGAGGATCTGAATGCCTACTTTTTAGCTTGCTGAGTTATAAGAATTTTTTATATATTGTGAATTTTAAACTCCCAACAGGTACATGACTTTCAAATATCTTCTTCCCACAATGGACTGTCTTTCACTATGGGAGTGTCCTTTGAAACACACAAGTTTATAATTTTGATTAACCCCAATTTATATATTTCTCCTTTGGCTGCTTGACTAAAACTAGGTTTATCTAATTCAAAGACACCAGTTCACCAGTATTGCCTTCCTCAGTAGTCCACAAAAGGCAAAAATAGAAACTTCTAGTTCAAACCAAGAAATTTCTATCCCTTCATTTTAATATAAAGTAGTAATCCTACTTGAGAAGACAGTTCTACAGAAAGGACTTTCACCGAGATCCAGTTCACTCCTGGTCACTTACTAAAATGTGACAGTTCAGATTTGACTAAGCCTATGATTATTTCTTCATAGACTACCTAGGAAAACGAACTAATGATTGCACTCGTTATGAATATATGCTGAACAGGCAACTGTTCTTGCATCTGAATATCTAAAGATTCTGATGAGTTTGCTAAGCAAAAAAGAATTAGCAATGACC